ATGCTAACTGCTGCTGACCAGCAGTTGGCATATATGCTAACTGCTGCTGACCAACAGTTAGCAAAGATGCTAAGTACTGCTGACCAAAGCAAAGATGCTAACTGCTGCTGACCAACAGTTAGCATAGATGCTAACTGCTGCTGACCAACTGTTAGCATAGATGCTAACTTTAGATTGAAAATGCCTTTGAAAAGCAAATGCATTTAGCGTTGTTTTTCACTGGAAATTTACACACAAATCAAAGGTTTTGAGTCATGGTGATAATAACTACCGGTAACTTATTTACAGAAGTTATTCTTCACAGTTCAGTGAAAACAACGATAAGCTACAGCAACTCTGCTGAGACAAACTGCATCACACAGCAACTACTCTACAGACTCAAAGTGGCTGCACAAATTATTGTAAATATATGTTTTTATTTTGAAATTGATTCAGATTATATCAATAAAAATTTAGATTTTATCTCCTACCCCTAGTGTCTGCATGAACCACTACGAAATCTTTGAGACGGGAGTTTTTTAAAGATGGCAACAATCCGCTTGCGTCTGTTAGCTTTTCCATCCAGGTAAAATTAAACATTGAAAACTGAGGCCATTCAAAGAGATCTTACAGAAACCCACTTCAAAAACATCTGAACTATCCCCCAAACATGGAAACAATGCCTCTTGTTGCTTCAGTGATTAACATTATCAATACATAAATGTGTATATTGGTTCAGTTTATAAGTGTGGAGATAAGGTACAACACTGCTCTTAGTTAATAAACTCAATGACTAGAGTTAATGTACTCTTCCATCTCTGATGCCAGACAACAAATACTGTAATAAATATAACAAAACCTCTGGATACACCTGACAAACACTAACAATACGTATATCTAAATGCATTTAATGTACAGAAATAAACTCGCATGAACTACATTATTTTTTTCACAACATTCATTGTAAACAGTGGGGAACAATACACAAACGATGACTTATGTGCATTGCTAGATCAGCTTTTATGTCTTGTTAGCTTGAAAAGCACAACTACCGGTAAGTGGATCTTGTTCAAGAGCGTACGTTTTTTTGTATATATAACAGAATACTATTGAACAGTGACCATAGGAGCTTGAAGTAACTTTGGGCATTAAATGCAACCTGTGCATATGACTTCATTAAGAAAGCTTACTGCATTACAACTAATTTTTTTAAAGAATTCAGTGCCAAGAAATGTTTTTGCATTATATGTGCATCAATAAAAAAGTTGCTATATCAGCAACTACCAGTAGAGTCCAAATAGCAAAGGGCTCCAAATGAAAGCCAAATAAGAAACTGTTAGAGAGCGTCCGCTGGACGATAGAGCTTTAATGTCCATCATCTTGTCAGGACGTCCTTCCTGTTTGCTGTTGATGGCTCGAGTGGTTAAGAGTCTGGCTCTGGACAGGCTGTAGTCCTTCTTTTGAACAGGTGGGGGCAACGTGGGTGGTGGGCAAGTTCCAATGGAAGGTAAGCATCCGACCTGAATCCATCGCTCAAAAAGTTCTGAAGTTAGCTTCAGGAGTTCCTCCGGAGAGGAAGATCTCGTGGGGAACTGTGTGAGATCCATCTCCTCCAGGAATCTCTGCGAAACAGAAGTGAGGCGATTACAATTCAAGAAGAACAACAGAAGCTGGCTACATGCTGCCCTTTGTAAACCTTACCTCTATATTTTCGATCTTTTCAATAATTTTATTCAGTGTGTGCTGGAGTTCGAGGATCAGGCTGTGATTTACGTGCTCATCCCAGAGGTTTTTTTGGAGCACATCCCAGGAGTCCAGGAGGACCACTGCTGCAGAGAAGACGCAACACTGCAGGGAGACATAGACCCCCAACGTTAGCACGCACAACTCACGAAAAATCCACCTCAAGACTAAGCGGTACTTTAAAAAAACTAATACGTAACTCACCGGGTCAGTTTCACAGAGCATGCTTTTGGCGTAACGATGCACTACATAGTAATCTTTAGGAAATACTCTCCTCTAAAAGAGAACGGCAGAAACAAAGATGAGTGTAAACCCTTCAAATGCATTTTCACTGCACTTATAGTTGATCATTGAAATTACTTCATCGTTGTGCTAACTACAGATCAGCGAAGGAACTAAAAACGGACTCGAGGAGCCCAAAGTGAAGCACATCGTTTGATCTCGAGTCTGTAGAGCGTTAGCGTCTTGACATCTGATAAACCCCGACCATAAGATAAGGAACCTGATTTCTGCTGTTTTTATACTAGTTTCTCACACTCAAACACTTCATCATGTCAAAACAGCCACGGTAGGTTTCTTGAAAACATACTTTCTGAGAAAACAAAAAGCTTAATCCTTAGTGAAAACTTACAAATCCAGTCGGGTTAGAGTCGATCGTCACCTTTAGGTTTTCCACGCTTTTCCGGTCAAAGTCACATCCACCACATTGGACAATAAACAGCGATAGCAACACGACAACTGTTTGAGACACGTGGAAGAGACAGAAGAGCAAGACCGCATTCAGAATAAAAGGTGGAAACTTTGTGTGGTTTGCATCTGTAGCTTGTTCAAACTGAATACCTGGCAAGGAACATCACAGCATTTCCTGTGTGGATTAACCTTTTGCACACAGAAGTAGTGTACGACACGTTCAAGTGCCGCTGCGTAACTTTTATTTGAAGCAAAAATACAGAAATTATGGTTCACTCAGCATGACACGATAAGACTCGTGTCACCAGTGCATGTATTAACCTTTGTACGACGTTACCTCCTCACTGTAAAAGAAAGCCAGAGAAGCGTTGATGCAAAGTTCACATTAATTTCTCACCTTGCAGTGACATCCTTTTTATTTTTCCATGAATGGACACGTCTCCATTTCTCTTGCCGTCAGTAATCGCTCCTCAGATGGGTCTCTGTGTCAGCCCGTGAAAGGCAAAGTTTCCTCCTCTGTGGGTTTTGTTGAGGTCTCTGACAGAGCACCGCTTCTGCCTCTCTCGGTGGTTGATGTTCAGCCCTCTTGCTCACATCTCCTCCGCGTGTTCGTCCTCTCGGTTTCCTTTGGTACTTTCCACAAGATTGCTTCATCAATCATTTCACGCCATCGTCCTCTTTCACTTTGGGTTTGCCCACTAATGCCTGAGTGGTTGCAGCCTTTCCCTTTCAAAGCTTGTTTTTGTTTTTAATACCCCCTCCTTTTTTTTCTTCCTTTCACTGCTGGCCTAGAATTTTCCTGAAATGTTTCACCACTCCTCTGTTTTTCTTAAAAATGGTTAATGAATAAAGCGGCAGAGAGCCCCCCCCCCCTCCTCTCTTCTCTGGTCACTACTCGTATCCTCACCCAGACTCAAAGTGAAAGTGTTCGCCTGGACTGCTTGTCTGCTCTCTATAAGGCTCAGCCCCACCCACCACAAAACGTTTCACCTCACTATTGACTGACCCGGCTCCCTCCCCCCTGCTCCCCACATTCCCTGACACCCCTCACCCCCCCGTCCTTCCAAACAGGGGCCGAGGAGGCTTAGTCATGCAGTTGGACCGTATGTTTTTCATTTTGGACTCTCCCCCGCACCTCTGCGCCTGCAGATCCCATGCTCCTTATCCCTTCAGAGTCATTATCATGTTTAATCATCACGAGCGTTTGGTTAAAATAACTATATATATATATAAAAAATCATGTTCCTCGTCAAACTGGATTGCAACACCGCATTGCCAGAACTTGCAAGCCTTCCTATGTGTGACAGCTCTCAATGGTCGTCACTATTAAAACAGTAAAAAATAAAACGGAGCTGCAGATGTGCTCATGTGATTGTGACGCCTCGTATTGTTCACGGCTGTCATCAGCTCGTCTGTAACGTGTTTTCTAAGAACGCCTCAGGTTACGTGAAGCATCCCGCTGCTTTGGATTTCAGTCAAGAGAGTGGCCGATTGCTAACGAAAGGAAAGAACGAAGCTGTTGTCAAAGACAGAATTCGTCTCAGGCCAACGGGGAGAGCGGACCGCTCACTGAAGCACCATCAACGCTGGGGGGAAATGGAAACTAGAGAGCAGCGACAAACTTGCGAGCACAGCCTCCACACTCCCCAAGGCATCGTCAAGTCGAAACTTCTAGACCTTTTAAGATGCGTTGCAACGATGGATATAAATATTCAGCCGCTGCGCCGTCTTCCCGTCTCATCACTTGCGTATGAGAAAATGTGTAATTGATTTAAAACTGCAGTAAATTGTGTGCTATTTGGGTCTAGTTGAGTAACGCGCCAAATGAAATCCAGATTTGAGTCTAAAAGTAGAAAAGTACCAGAGGTATTTCTAAACACACATTCCTTTTTTTAAAAGGAATACGTTTGTCCTTTATTTTATATTTAGAACCGGAGGATACCAGTAAGTCCACCCCCCCACAATTATCACATAGTTTAGATCAAGGTAAACAAAGCTGATTTAATTAGAGCCGTATGTTTTGAGTTTTATTGACTTAAGGCTGCGAACTTCAGCAAAGACACAACTGTTGTGGAAAACGGCACTGTGGATCGGCGTTTCGCTCGTAAGGAAGCCCAAATCCTGCCCAAGAGTTTGGCCGTATTAAAGCAAGACTTATTGCGCAAACTTTTCTTTTGCGTTTGCGCATTAGAAAACTTGAAAGTGTTGTCTTGCTTGGGACTTGCTGGCCGGCAGCCACTCAAACAAGTGAGCGGGAGCTGGTGGAGAATTCCTAATCTTCACTTTCACTCCCTTTTTATTTTTCCCCGCTCGCCACAAGATGGAGCCAATTGAAGAATTAAAAAAATGATGTCAAACCGATCTTTAATTTTATTCAACGACATTAGTAAACAAAAGTGCAAAGGCTTCTGGTAATAAGTTAAACTTTACATGCGAGGTTCCCTTTGACAATAAAGCCCCTCTGTGCATTAACCGCAATTACTCATTGTGTTAATCTGAGCAGGATGATAATCTGAGTTCAGAACAATAGATTTCTCATTACTTAAAAAGACAATAATGGATGAGTTGAATCATTCCGGTCATCCATTCACAGTGCTCCTTCTTTCCAGTTAACAGAACACCCCGTGAAAAGACTCATTCCTGCTTCGTTTAGCATTTCCATCAATTCCCTTTTTACCCTTCATCTGCTGCTCCTCCTCCTCTTTTTCACTGACTGGGGCTCCTCTCCCCTCCTCGCACAGCTGTCATTAAATGACTCTTGTAGGTTTTACTCAGTCCGGTCATCCAGTACTTCAGCAGCCGCACGTTGTCCTCCTCGCCAGGCCCTGTGGCACCGAGGAGGGCCAGAACCTTCTGGGTGTCCTCCCTCCCACGACCGTCCACTTTGGAAAACTTGAACAGCACTTTGACTTTGCTGAAAGAGCAACAGGATTTGAGCGTTTTGTTTTTAAACACCTGGTTTAGAATTAAGCGTTTTGACTCACTTCATCCATTCCTCCTTCAAACACAGCAGGCAGTGGGACACGACGTCCACAGACAGGTTCTCGTTAGACAGGGCCACCTCCAGCTTGTTCAGCAACGTTGGACCTGAGCGCAAAGATTCAAAGAGCCATTACTTTCATATTTCAGTGCACAGCAATTACCCCAAAGTTTTGGCGCCAACGATTGTTATATGAGAAACGTGATTACTGGACAAGTCTGATTTTAGTCTGGCAAGAGAAGGGAAAGGCAGAGACTGGATAATTGTATTCTGATGTGGATCCAGGTCCTGTAAAAATGTTTTATTGAGAGTGAAACGTTTCACTACAGGCACATAAACTGCTGCTCTGGCTTATATCACAAAACCGAACAATAATTTATTGTGAAAGCTAACTAATAAGGGATATAAAATATTATCACTTTTTTTCCCCTTTACCGTGCGCTGCAGCAGAATTTTATGTCCACGTCTGTCAGAAACGCTCTCGTTAGCTCCTTTCTTGTGAAGTTTTCCCTTCATTAATGCCAAGTCTCCAGTGACCAGTCAGCTGAAAGGTCAAAAATGCAGCAAGGCAGCCACTGATTCTTTGTTTAGGGTATGCTAATTTAAACTCCGTGCAGGAATTATGCAAATGTGCCTAATGCTATAAAAAAATAAAAAGAAAAGAAAAATGGGACTACAAACAGACTAGAGATACCCGGTACATCTAAAGACCTACATGTCCTCAGTGACTTGAAATGTTTTTTTTTTTTTTTTTTTAACTTTTATAGCTGTCCTGGGTTTTCTCCATGTACTCCGGTTTCCTTCCACAGACTAAAAACATGCACGTTAGGCTGATTGGTAACTCTAAATTGTCTCTAGGTGTGAGTGAGAGAGTGAATGGTTGTCTCATTTGTCTCTGTGTTCCTGTGATGGACTGGAAACCTGTCCAGGGTGTCCCCCCACCTCTTGCACAGTGATGGGCACCAGTGACCCCCGTGACCCAAAAAGAAAGAAGCGGGTAAAAGATAATGGATGGATAGCTGTCCAGATAATGTAATCTCTTTTAGCTTTTAGGGTTTAATTTACATACCTGCAAACTCACAAGGGGTGAAAAAGTTGACAAACCTAGCCTGCTGAGGATATGAAGTGTGTAAACTCACCTCTGTCTGTGGGCTGTGTGTTCACACTGCTGATGGTGAACTGATAAAGAGCGCTGATTTCATCTTCACGTGCAGCCGAGACCGGACCGCTTCTGATGGAGACGTCCACCAGCACCGAAAACTCTGAGTGAGGAACCAAACGCTGAGAGGTCAAACACTTGTCCTAACGTGACCCGCAAGTACCGGTTGATAAATTTAGAGCTTCACACCGAGTTATGAAGTCTCGTCTCTCACCTGAGGAGCTGACGTGGGCTGGGATGGGCACATCCGGACTGAGACCCAGAAAGTTGCACTTGTAGGCCTCTTCGTACTGAGCGCTGTACGGCACCGAGCGCACGCAGCCGACTGGCAGCAAAGACTGACAGGAACACGAAAGTTTATAAAATTAGGAAGCTCCAACTGTAAAATGTCTCAACAGTAAAAAAAAATAGCTAACGACTGTTAGCCAGGATAAATGGCTTCCGTCTATTATTTTCTCTTTAATGGCAGGGAAACAATAAATTATTAATAAAACCATAATTTTTAAAATCCAGGTGTGAAGGCGTTGCCAGAAGAGCACCTTGAGCACTGTAAAAGCTGACTGAATGAGCCCCGGGTCTGCGCTCCTCCATATGACCTGATTTCCCATGAGCACGTGCCACGCTAGCTGTCGGAAGTCGTTTGCCCCGAGGACCTGCCGAACAAGCGACAGCTCAGTTACAGTGCACCAAGTGATAAACAACGATCATATGTCGAGGCTTCAAAAAACATCAGTGTGCATAATATCAACCTGGCAACAAGACAAACATTCCAGACAAACTGCATGACGATAATTTATTTAGCAACCAGATGAATCCCCGAGGCTCTAAGCCAAATGAGAGTAGCTAAAGCGCTTGGAGTGTTTTGTGCATTGTGATGACAAAAGATGCAGTATTCAGCAATATAATTGTTTCTCTAAAACTGTGAAACTTTATACTTTTTCAATCTCTCTCGGTTTTTAGTAAACATTACATACCAGTGATTTTGCATGAGAACAAGATAAACACAGATACCTGTCTAAAATGCCTCAGTGACCTGAACTTTGGACCAGGCGATTCGTCTACTTTCGAAGCATCACACAGGAAGTCGAGGCCCATGTTGCTCTCTGATTGGTGCAGCTGTGACTTTGATCCACCTCCCTCTGCTCCTTCCCAGCAGCTCATTTCTTCTTCCTCTTCTTTGAGAGACACAGAACAACACAATTATAGGAAAGGCAGTTGTTTTTAGCAGATTGAAGAATTGTCACAGGAAGCTGTTACAAAAGGTTGACGCCACATCTCACTCCAAATATAGGCTCTCATCTGATGTGCACATGATGCCACCTTTTATTTATTTCATAAATGTAATCTGAATTCCCACCTACAGTTCACTTTAACACCCTTACATTCATCAGCTGCTGGTTATAGTTATAAATCACATGCTGAAGCTGCTTTGTTCATGAATCAGCCGAGTTCACAGCATACAGGACGTGTTTTCAGTTTGTAATATTTCAGCTGATATGGTTTTCCCCCATTTGTTCCAGCTCAGTGTTATTGTTTATAACAAAACCCTCTCAGATGGGACTTTCCATCATCGAAGACAGAATTCATCTGCTAACATGTTTTTTTTCAACTTTATGAAAATGATTCAACTCTTGGACACTGAGCAGATCTAAGGCTGCTTCCGTAATCCCAAGTGGATTTAGAAAAAAACAACTATGATCGAAGGAAAACGGGACAGTTCGTTCCTTAATTCCTACATATTCTAGCTTCAATTTGTAAATTATTTAAAAAGGTGCAGTTATGGTGACAATTAAATTGAAAAAATCTTTTTAAATTCCAATGTTTACAAAAGAAGATTAAGAGTCAGAGTGACAAAAACAAAAAAGGTCATAAATCTGACTTTTCTGAGAATATTACCATACCATTTAATTTATAGAGCACTTAAAACAGCGACAAGGCCAACCAAAGTGCTGTACAGACAGAAAAACAGGTAACACACAAAGCAATATACAAAATGAGGTAAATCAGAATAAAGACATAAAAACGATGCAGATAATAAATAAGAAATATTGAGATTATAGTGATAATTCTGAGGGAAAAAAGTAAAAAAATCCAACTTTTTTTAGTTAAAATTCTGACTTTAATCTCAGAAATTTCACTTTAATTTTAGAAGTTTACTTTTAATCTCAGAATTTTAAGTAATAAAAGTCTTCGTTCCAACTTTTTTGTGAAAATTTTCAATTTAATCTCAGAATTCTAGAGAAAATGAAAACATATTTCACTTTGGCCCTATTTGTGTAAGGATATAAAATAATTCTCTGGCTCTCCCCAATCTTGCTCAGCCAGAAGAAGTAACATCCTCAGATAATTAATGTTAACATATACATATATATATATACATATATATATATATATATATTATATATATATATATATATATATATATTATATATATTATATATATATATTATATATATATATAAACTGAACTGAATTAAAGAGGAATATTATTTATCCATAAATCATTATTTCCTTTGACACAAACAGTTGGAACAAAATCTTTTAGTATTACAGACCTGAATATAGTTTTATCCTGGATCACAAGAAGGGAGTTTGTACCTCAAGAGTGGACAGAGAATAAAAATTAATATTAACTTTGCCTCATTATTTATGGGTTTTGTAAGTAAAAAAAAAAAGTAAAATTATTTGACAAATACATTTATTCAGCACATCTCGAACAAAAAAAGTAAAGTAAACATTTGGACAGGAGCAGCTGCACTGTTGTTGGAATTCCTGTAAAAAATACTTTGGCTAAAGTTTTATTTTATTAAACAAGATAACACTTTCTTCACTGCAGTCAATCATAAATTTCCAGCTCAAAGGAATTTTAGGGATTATTGAGAAATTTCAAAAACGACCCCAAACTGAGTTCTTCCGAACTTGTTGCCAACTTAAAGAATCCTTTTCCTCAAACCTGACTAAGTTCAGGGTTGTGTTTGGAAACCTCAGACCAGCAGAGCCACCCGGAGAGAGCGCACCGTTCACCCCACCCCCTCACATTCCCTCACCTCGGTCATTTCTGGGCAATACGCACGTGGTGTTTTACTAAAGAAGTCATTTCAGTCATAAAAGTGAATCACTGAGGATGGAAAAGCATCAAAACAGAAATGTATGTTATGTGACTGGCACAAGGCCACCACATTTTTAAAAACTGGGAGAAATAATCACTGGGATTTTAAAATAGTACATTTGTATGTAGATATTTGTATACTGTACACTGGGTACTTTAGCCACTGAAAGCGTGACAAAAAGATTGGACTGAGGATTGTGTTTGTGGTCGATACCTCATTTTTCTTCTATTAAACATGTTTATGTAAAGTGTATTTTTTATTTAATTGTAGTATTTTGTCATAGTCTCAGTATGCATCATTTGTTTCAGAGATTGAATAATTGTCCGTTTCTATTTTGATGCTATCATTTTGTATTTTACAACACATGTCCAATAGCATTTAACTAACGCTGTTGGTTTAATGTAACGTTCAATAATGTACACTGTCCTCGGTAAGTAGACTAATAAACTATCCAAGTGTTGGTAGTTGATTCCTCAGTGATGAAAGTACAAACTAAAAGCACATTTTAAAGAGTGGAAACAGGTGCAACAAGACTGGAAAATTGTGTAATGTTGAAGAAAAGACGAAAACAAAACAACTAATTAGACTTAACTGCTGACAGATTTGTTTGTGTTTGAAGTTCCTGCATGATGAAAAAATGTAAGGGCTAAATTTCAAACTGTTTTTTTTTTGTTTGTGAACCTGCTAATAGTTTGCAGATAAAGCATCTTCTATAATGCACAAGACTGATGAAGTATTTTGGATAAAAGACGAAACGTTTCAACAAATCTCGTTTTAAATCCGTCCAGAGGACCTGACTTAACTTTGTTAGACATTTTCTATAATTAACTATTTCACCGACAGATTTAGAAAACACAAAATCATGTCTAAACAAATCATTACAGGTTAGTTTTAAAATGTCAAATAGGAGGGATTTGGATTGCTGGTGCTGAGTCTACCAAACATTAGTTGTATTTTTTACACTGATTTCCAAATGTGTGTTTTCTGTGACAAAAAGTGTTCTTTGAAACTAATGATTGTGAAAATAATGTCATAAACTGGTTTTGAGTCCCGATTATGGCAAACAAATTGCATCAGAACTCAGCAGGACGCGGTCGCAAAATGTTCCCTGTGTATTAAATATGGTTAAACGCAGTTTGGTACACAAGTGTTAGGTACTTTTGTAATAGTTTAGAAATAATACTCGGAGATTTGACAGTCAGTATATTACCAGGCTTCACAGCTGATTATTTTATAAGATTATCTCTAGTTCCAAAACATTTTATCCAACTCTAATTTGAACATCGGGGTTTTTTTCAACCCATTTATTCCCTTGTACTTTTTGTTTTGTAGTTTGTATTGCCCACTGTGATCACAAATGTTAAAAACAGTGGTGGGAACAATTCTACTAATCTACTAGCAGCTAATGTTGGAAAAAAATTTCCATTTAGCAGATTAGCATTTTCACCAACTTTGGAAACCGTTGCGGAATTAGCTTCTGCTAAATTCGGTTTTGCCAACTTAATAATTGCTAACAAAATTCACAAGCTTGTTCCCATCTGGGCGTGTCTTGAAGAGTCCTTTAGGCACACTATTGGCATACACAGGACAAGATGTTATTGGTCGACGCAGCTTCAACAGGAAGGAGACGGCAACGTGTGACGCAGACTGAGTGACTGTCGTCTTAGCAGTTACTGGTTTAGCGTTAGCTTCCGCTAATTATTTTACTTGTTTAGCAACGATAATTTGCTCACCACTGGTTAAAAACATATATTTAAATTGTTTACATGAGTAAACGTATTAAAAGTTCCACAGCCTCTCCAAATCTTTTAATCACTTCCTAAATACCGACTTAAATTGTGCAAGTCTGTCTGGAAAAGCAATGTGTCTGAGTGTAATGGTTGAGTGATTTGTCATGTTTTTGTGGCCTGACTGACCCAGTGATTCAAACTTCCTGTCACCTGAGAGTTTTATGACTAACCCAAAGAAAAAAACATGGCACAATGAGCAAACACACAACACTGTTAAAAAAAACCTTAGATGGATAAAACTAATATTTGTGCTCCTGAATGGCTAATAAAATGGTGTTTAATTAGGGACAAAGTTTCAACCTGTTTGTCTCTCGATAAGCACCAGAGTGTCCTCTGTAGGCGCTCCTTCGAGGAGCTTCTCTGTCAGCCGACTGCCACAAGCCTTCAGCAACCTGGAATCCAAAAGAAAGCACAAATCACGGTGAGTAAAAAACAAAACAGATATACATTTGCAATCCTGAAACTGAGAGTCTCTCACTAATCACTCACCAGCTGAAGGAGCAGTGCAGGCTCGCCCAGAGATTGGGATGCTGGGTGAGAGAAGTTAGTGATCGGGCTGCGTTGCCACTCCTCTGATGTGGAAAAACCGCTGGTGAAAACACGCTGTTCATCCTCAGAGCTCGCTGGGGACAGACTCCCTGTTCACTGTCAAACACCTGATAAAGAAAATATTGTCAAACAATTACAGATGTTCAAAATAATGAGCTTTTTAATATAAAAAGGCATGCACAGCCCTTGTTGACGCCCTACTTTTAGTGCCGTGTTTTGCAGACTTTGTATGGTGAGCTTGAGGTGTCGTAACAGGAAAGGCCAGGAGTTAATGAGGTAGATCCTGTCCATGGCTACCACAACGATGCTGTACCAACGCTGAAACCCCCTGGCCAGGCTGTCTTTGATGAAAAAGGTGTGTGAGAACACAAACCCATGTTGCTCATCCCCAAAGAAAATTGGCCCTTCGCGTCCAGGACATACCTGAGGCCAAAACAGAAGGTTTGTGGATACAGTGTTTGGAGACAGTGGGTTATAAACACGAGTATGTCGCTGCTTACCTCGCAGCTAAGACTGCGCACACATGCCTGCCGGACCACGCTGAAAAGCTGCGACTGCCTGGGGTGCTGATGGCTCAAGAAGCGAATGCCCGTTTCATTATCGATGCTCACAAAGCCTGGGTGAGATGCAGGGAGAGATCGGCATCCCTGTGGAGTGCGGAAATAGAAAAATTAGAACTTTACAGACATGTGAGAGGATGACATCAAGCTGAATGTCCACAATACACTCAGGGTGAGGGGACTTTATGTCCATAGCCTGTCCACTCACCTCACACATCTCTCCTCTTTGAGTTGCTGAACTGTTGGCCCTCATGGTCAGGCCTTCACCTTCCCGGTCACCATCTCTATCCCCAGGCACTGGGGTACCGACCTGAGAGGAGGGGTCTGGGGATGGAGGGTGGAGTGCCTCGGTGCAGAATAGTGTCCGAGGTCCATGGAGCTCACAGAAGTGACACAGAGCTACCAGAGCATTCATCTGAAAAACAATTCAATTCAGTTTATCTATATAGCGCCAATTCACAACAAAGTTGTCTCAGGGCACTTTACAGAAACATTCACATACAAGAAAAGCCAATTAGTAAAGTTCTCTAAGGAAGCCAGCAGACACGTTGAATCTTCACTTTGTCACAGTCTCCCAACCTGAGCAAGCACAGTGGCAACAGTGGAAAGAAAAAACTCCCTTTTAACTGGAAGAAAGCTCCAGCACAACCAGGCTCAGGACAAGCGGCCATCTGCTTTGACCAGCTGGGTGTGAGAAGACAGGAAAGAGAGACAAACAAACACAGAATGGCAGGTCCAGATGTAGGTGCAGGTGTACCTGAAAGACAAAAACACATGTCAAAGACAGAAAAAATAATTACAAATACAAAGCAAGTTGAGCAGAGTCAGTAAAGACAGTAGCATAGTGAAGAAATGTGGTCAGTTTGTCCTCCAGCAGTAAACACAATAGCAACACAACAAGCTGTAAGATGCTAACTCCTGAAACTCAAAGAATTAGACAGAAACTCTGCGACACACCTTTGTTTCTCAGTCTTTGACCTTTCAAGCTGACACCGGTCTTAAAAACACAGCTAGCAACAACAACCAGCGAGTATTACCTTCAGAAGTTTAGCTGCCAGGAGCTCAGAGCTTCACCGGACATTTGTTGATGAGAAAATCATTAAAAAAACAACATTGGTGTGAAACAAAATCCAATCAGTCTTCTGCCTGTTTGTCGTAAAGCACAACTTTAAGAGAATAAATTAACGTTTTCGACTATTTTTGTTCACCTCTCGTAAGTTGTTAGCAAACAACAGAACCGTCACGTGACGACGTCCGATCACGCGCTCGAGCAGCTCCGATGACGCTTGCTGCGTCGTTAGCCTTTACCCGTTAAACAAAACAAAAAATTTGCTTTTAACAAAAAATATTCTCTGAACAGATTTGATTTTATATGTTGACGTTACTAAGTAAATATTAAAATTATATGTAACTTGTTGAAGACTGTTTTGCCGAAACGTAATTTTAAACCACATTACCCAGAATTCCATCGGAGGCAAAGGTTTAAAGGTTAAACGGGAACCAGCGAGTTTGTGACTAGAGCGAAACTGGTCTGTGGTCATTGTGTTAATATTTATTTAAACTAAGTATATACTAATTTTCATTGGTTGAACGTTAGCATTTATTTTTAAGCTATTAACCTTATAATGTCTTGTTAAAGTTGTTAAATTAAGACTCTGTTTACAACATTGTGAATTCTCATCTGAACTTCCGTACATTTTTCAGTCACAGAGAGACTCAGCAGTGCCTTTCAGATCTGGGCATGGCATCAGACGGACCGGGACTTTACTCAGATCCAGTAGTGGACCAGAAGGACATTGGTGGGACTCTCCCCACACCCACCATCTTGACAGACTCACTGGGACCACAAGCAGGGGTCCCTTCTGAAAGTAACATTGGTGACGTCACCCTGACAGCCACAGGAGGTACATTTCCTTAATTTTCTGTTGTTGAGGTGTATGAAGGACTCAAAGTTCTTTTTTAATTAATTCATTCAACCTTTATTTAGACTAGCACAACTTTAAACAAGCACAACCTACCACTTAAAGAGACGTGACATTAACTTATACCTTGTACCTTAATTCCTACATGTGTCCAGTTTCACTACTTTTTGTCTGTCTAAACAGATCTCATTTGTAAATTAGTCTTCTAGGCTCAATGTGACTTATCTGTCTAAATAAAGGTTGAATGAAAAAATCACTAAGTATAGTACTGCTGTGTAGCATGTTTGTGCTGTAAGATTACAATAAAACGTTATACTAGCCCTATTATTACTACAAATATATAAAATTAGAGCAGCCTTGTCACAAAAAACAAAGTTACTCTTTTGGTTGTATCACAAGTTTTACACCAATTTGTGCAAAAACACCTGCAGTAATTATAACTACAAAGTTGTACCCTTTAGCACTCACAGTTTTTCATTTAAGTTGCAAAATTAAATCCTATTCTTAATCATAATATTTTAAACAAGAAAACAAAAACAATAGTGTGTTTTAAAGTCATTAAGTGAACTCAATAAAAGGTAAAAGGTTTTCAAATGGACAGAGAAAACATTAACAAACATGAACATTTCGTTGTTAAAATTAATGAAAAATGTTATTTTTAGAGCAGCATGGTGACGCAGCTGGTAGATATAATTGATAGATGGATGGATGTTATTTTTACATATGACTGAAGCATTTGTTAAATCTACATTTATGACCCTCACTAGCAAAATGAGTCAGACAAGAGCTGGCTGCGGTGTAAAAAACTTGAAAATAAAAATTGAAATCTGTATAAGGATGGGTCCATAAAGACACCATTCCACAATCCCAGTAACTGACCTAACATATAATCTTCCTAATCTACCTTTATATCAAAGTTTTTTTAATCAAGTTTGTCTTCAATAATGACGATTCGAATTCTAATATTGAAATTTTCTTTGACATTGACCATGTTCTCTGACAGGAAACCTTTTCTTCTTAAATTTGGCTTCATTGTGACGTTGGGGATTTTGCGTACTAAATATATGGCTGGAATTCCCATTGACATGTTCTAGTCCAGTAAAAGTTGAGTCTTCAAAGCATCACTCTCGTAAACAAAACTAGCTTGTTGCCAGGTGATAAATTGCCAACTTTCAACAAACTGTGTGTTATTCTGTAACTTTTGAGATGGAGAGTTTGAAAATAAAAACTCTGCATTGAAAATGTAATTATTGTGACTCATTTTGTCAGCCTGGGTCACAAATTTCTGAGAACTTTTCTTGACTTAGTGGAGCATAATTGTCTACCAGGGGCAGAAGATAAAACGTTACATAGGAGGGATGCGAGGAGTTGTTTATTTTTACTTGAATCTCATAAAAAAATCTTAAAATTATAATAATGGTTAATTATTACAATAATGATACTTTATAAAAGTTACACCTTCAGTTCCGTACAACCATGTGGTGTACAGGATGCTCTCAGTAGTGTCCTAATAAAGGTGGTGAGGATGAAGTGGGGAAATCTTACTCAGCCTCCCGAGGAAGCTAAGCTTCTGTTTCGCTTTCTTCTCAGGTGTTTGATACAAGAGTCATGGAGAGCTCCTCAGTAATGTTGACTCCTAAGACTTTGCTGCTGCTGACCACAGTCGAGCTACTGATGTGTAGGGGGTCTTCCAATAAGCTAAAAATGGTTCTCAACAGGTTTTAGGAAGATCAGTTAGGAACTGGGTTGTTGTCTCCATCGCAAAGCGAGAAGTGGGAATTGGATATACTCTCTGTCCGTCTTTCCATGCATGTTGTGAGCAAGATAACTTGAAAAATTAGTGAATTACCAACTTCGTATTTGGTGTGTGGCTACATTTAGGTGTAAGAAAGGTTGCTTATTAAAACTGGGTTGCCACGTTGACATCCAAGATGGCCACCACCATATATCTATATATGTACAATGACCACACTGGTATGTCACATTAAATGTCTTTATTTGTAAGTGTTTGATCTTCCCTCAGGTGTATTTTGTGTTTTTGTAGAGAACCACAGTGCATTGGTCAGCTATTACTATGTAACTGACAATACTAACACTAACAAAGGGTGATGAGGAAAAATAACTTTGGTGCTTTGGTGGTCGAAACTGAAAGAACGGGTGTTAAACATATACTGGCTGCAAACAGCAGCTCTACAATTGCATTGATGGAAAACCCCTGACAGCTCCACGTCTGGAACAGTTTGGTAATTCTTTTTCATAATTTAACAAAGGCCCTTTTAAGACTGTTTGGTTTCAGCTTTTGTTTAATTTGCTTAGAGATGGTTCTGCGTTTCAGCCAGCAATAGTTGGTGTCTCAAGTTTCTGGAACAGTTTTGTAGGTCCGCAGTTAAAATGTTTAGAAGGCACTGATTTCGAAGATATATGGGCGTGATTTAGACTACTTTAAATTTAGCGTTTGATTTAGAGTGTTTTTAATTTTATAAAGTATAGAGCAGTTGCTTTGTGCGTTCATACCTGACTTGGTAAGGCTCCCTTAACTTCAGACAATAAATACCATTTTCCCCACCTTTTTTAGTTTGGGATCCCATCAGGTCCTCAGTGACTGCATACATGTTAAAATATGTCATTCAGCCCTATACAAGCATGGCTGGCTTTGCCATTATGTATGTATGTATATATATTTTAACTTCATAATTAAACAAAAGACTCGATAACTGACATTTAGAGAGAATTTGACAATCAGTTTTGTTATCACCCAGCTTGGACAGTCTGGTAATCTGGTTCTCTTTCTGAAGAATGATCTCATTAAGTTTCTTTAATTATCTCTAAAATGCAGGATGCAAAATTACAGAAACAGTCATTATTGTCATTGAAGTACCCCTTATTGCAACAGTAGTAAATCTTTTCTGGGTCATTGTTGCATTTTCAGTAAACCTTTATGATCTGGTTTGTGCAGAGTAAGTCATTTCAGTCATGTGTCAGCAAAGAGCAAAGGACTGAAGACACATCCTTGAGGGACTCCTGTGCTAAATTTGATGGATTTTAATGTTTTTCTTTTTTAGTTTTTGCTAAGACAGCTTTACCACAAGCTTCTGTAGAATGATTAAAGACTGATGAGAAGTCTGTTAGCACAGTCCTTTGTATAGCTGTTGTTTTCCTCCAGGTGTTATAAAACGGTGTACAAGGCACGTCTGATTGGATTATCTGAAGTCCAACTGACACAATAAGCATTCCGTAGGAGCTGGAAGTGAGAAAATGGGGGTGGCTTTAATGTGTCACTTGTATTTAATTTATATATTATGACAAAGGTCAGCACATCATCCTGATGAAGCAGTTGTTTATTTTTTGTCATAAAGGTAATTTGGGCAGGTTATAACTATATTTTATCTGTTGTTCTGAAATGTCGGACTTGTCTAACTCAGCAGCACAGTCTTGTCAACATGCAACTCAGAATAATATCAGGTCCTGAAGCATTTTGTGGGCTGGTGTTGCTCATTGGCAAAGAAAAGTCTCTGCAACCGGTCACCAGCTGGAGGAAGGTTTTCCTACCTCATGTGTTAGTCAGAGGCTCAAACCTGTCAAATAACTGGATATTCAACACCAACTCTCAGCTGCATTTTAGTTACACTCACATTGATCGGTTTGTCCTCAGCTTCAAGAATCTTACGTCAGTATTTCCTGCGCAATCTGAATTCTGGTAAGTCAAGATATCATGTGGCCCCTCACACTGAAAAAGGAGCTGAAGGGAGGAAATTTATTTAACATCCTGCTGAGAAAACTTTCTGGATTTAGTGAGTCAGGACCCTGACCTCCAGAGGAAGATGGGATTAACTGTCTGCTTCTTCCTCTTGTGTCATACATTGACCTCAAATCCCTCTCAAAAAAAGTTCAAAGAACAGAAAAACAATTTAAGCATTTCTTCCAGGATTCTTGTAATGTCTGGACGCAGTTTAGAGATTGCTCTGAAAGCCGGAGTCATTTCACCAGGAAAGGACGGCATTACAGCAATAGTCCTGGTATTTTAATCTGAGTTAAATTAATCCTTGTTCTAAAGAAGTTAGACTGAATGTGGTTGTTTGAAAAGGAGTGGCAGTCATGTCTGAACCTCTTAACAGATGAGTCATCTGGACTGAGCCAACACCTGTTAAATAGATTTTACTCCCGGGAAGTGTATTAGAGTGGAAATATGCCCAGTTGTTTGTTTCTTTTAAAACCTCAAACAGGGAAGATATAGTTAAAAAAAAAACAACAACAACAACAACAAAAAACTAGATGATCAGGTGAGATATATTTTGATGTTTGTGCATTTCCTGTATGTTGGGTTAAGCAAACAATATAAGGAATTATTTTTTATTGTAGATGAAGACGTTATAATCCAACAGAGCATTAATTCTCTTGTATATTTGTTTATTTTTTCTTTCTTCCATACCTGTATGCATTATGAACCAGTCTGTACATACAAGAACATAATCACTTTGTTATTTCCTTATCGTTCTGTTGTCTTTTTCCTGGAATAATAAAAGCTGCAGGTTTTTTTTTTTGTTTGTTTTTACTGATGTTAATTAAAAATTTACGACACATCTTCAACAGGATTTTTTTTTTGTTCCTTCATTTTCAGAGTCGGCTGGATTGAATGAGGATGAGCTAAAAGTGTGCCATTTTTTCCTGATGGGAAAGTGTCATTTTGGCAACAGATGTCGTTTATCACACAGGTTTGCCCACTTTGTTCTCCACATTCAAAATAAAAATAAAAACTCTTTTAGTTTTTCTTTTAAATCCTTTAAGATTTTTACACTTTGAAATGTTTGATTGTTACCTTTAATGTTATGCTTCATGTGAAAAATTAACTATTGGTAGCTCAGTTTTTAAGCTCTATTTTTTTAGACCGTATTGTAAAACCAACTTGACTTTTTTAATAGTGTGAATGTTTATGAAGCATTCACACTATTGTGATCCATTTTTCTTCCATCCATTTTTCTGCATCTTTCTCATTCCACAATTTTTATGCTATTTCAACAAACATAAATCAAAACATTCAGCTCTCCTGCTATGACTTTTGTTATTGGTGCAACGTTAGCTTTTAGAAATATTTAGCCTTTTCTGCCACTTTTTTTCTCATAGAAAATGAATTAAGCTCATTTTACATCCTTCAAATCTTTAGATCTGTTTACGTTTTACTACTCCTTTCACATTTTGTTCTGGTTCAGCTTCTTTCAGCTTGTGCAAATTTTAACTTGTTTTCAGCTACTTTCAGCTAATATCAGCTGTTTTTTTCCAGCTGTTTTGTGCTCATTTTAGATTCTTTCTGCTAAATACAACATTTTTGAGCTTCTAACTTCTTTCTGCTAGTTTCAGCATGTTATGCTTCTTTCAGCTTATTTCTGCAAGTTTCAGCTTTTTCTGCCATTTCAGCTACTATTTAGCTGTTTTATACTAATTTTAGTTTTTTCAGCTAATTCCACATTTGTTGCACTAATTTAATTTTTTTTCAGCCTAATTCAGCAAAAATGTCCTGTCTCCACTTCCTTCTGGTAATTTCAGCTTCTTTCTGCAATTTTTAGCTACTTTTCAGCTGGTTTTATGCTAATTTTAACTTTTTTTTTCCAGGTAATTTCTTATTTTTTGTGCTCATTTCTGCTTCTTTCAGCCTAATTGGGCAAACGTGTTCTTTCTGCTTTCTTCTGATAATTTAAGCTTGTTCTACGTTTTTATCTAGTTTTTATTTTTTGCATGTTTTAGATAATTTCAACTGTTTTCAGATAAAGTCAAGTTTTTCATGGTAATTTCTGCTACTTTCAACTTAATTAAATTATTTCTGCTAATTTCAACTTGTTATGCTCCTTTCAGCTTTATTTCTACTGGGTTCAGTTATTTCAGCTACTATTAGCAGTTTTTATGCTAATATGAGCTTTTTCAGCTAATTTCACATTTTTGCACTCATTTCAACTTTTGTGTTCTTTCTGCTTTCTCCTGCTGATTTACACTTGTTCTACATTTTCAGCTACATTTCAGCATGTTTTTTTTTTTTTGCTAATTTCAGCTGTTTTTCAGGAAGTTCTTCTGCAATAGGCATTTCACACTGCATTTGCACAAGAAATGCAATTTCTCTACTTTAATTTTTGTGTCTGTATACAGTTAAGGATTGTTATGTGCAGTATGTGATGCACTTGTTGCAACACAGATGGCTTCGTGTTGACTGGATTTGATTTATACCCTAGATGAAATATTTTATTTTTAGTGTTTTCCTTGTATAATTGTACTTTTTCCCCCCGCTGCCTCTGCTCTTGGTCGACAGCGAGCCACCTCTGGATGATTCAAACGCCGTATTTCCAGACACAGACGACAAACTGGATGAAGGAAAGATGGAAAAGCACAAAAAGAAAAAAGGCAACGAGACCAAAGTCGCAAGGCCAAAACACAACAAGGAAAGAGGTTATTCCTTTTTTTCTTCTTTACTGGTATCTAATAATATACAGAAGTGGCTCATCTTTGGGTTTTTTTTGTTTTTGATTCTTTGAATAAAACCGTTTGAAACTCTTTCTTCAGCAGAGGTGAACAAAAAACCCCGTATGCGCACGGCTGATGAGGTTATTTCTCGCATCCTGTGGGACTCATCAGTGGACGCATCGGAGTTTGTGGTGGGCTACGTGGACCGCTTCCTGGGTGTGCTGGAGCGCCCTTTCTGTGACTTCAACTGGGACACGAACCCCTGCGATTGTGACTACACGACTGAGCTGGCCCTGCCCCGACACAGGATCCAGTACTTCACCTACAAAGGGCACCGTGTGTGGGACCGCCACACCAGAACTGACAGGGTTTTTGGCTCCACCGGTCAATCTCTGGCTCCCCCATTTGGAAAGGAGGAGGAAGTAAAGGGTAAATGACCTAATTTCATATATGAACAGAACATTTCTACAGAATCACTTAATGATTTTAAATCATTTATTTCAGAGGAACAGAACACAGAAAACCATGAGGCTGAAGCAACAGATGAGCAAGAAATTTCTGTCGGCGAGCAGGACGAGAGTGAAGCCCAAACTGAAAACAGACATGTGGAGAAAGACGAGCTGAATGAGATGATTCACACCTTTAACTCAACACATTGTGGAGAAAACATTTCACAGGAACAGCAGCGTGGATCATGTGTTGCAGAGGAGGCTGCAAATAGGTCTGCAGTTTATTTTTATCTTAACTCCAACTCACAGCAGACAAAAAATCCTCCTGTACACAAACCAGTATTAAGATCAAGAGCTGAAATCTCTGCTTCCTACCTCAGATGGTGTAAAATATGAAAGTACTTTGTAAGAAATATAAAGTCAGAATTTTATCTGCGAACAAGGAGGATTTAAATCAAACCTTTTACATTTGACTGGATTCCTCAGGTGCTTTTCTATAATTTGAGCTTCACCAGTTACCTGAGATTTTTCATAATCTGGATAAATAAATATCCTTAGAGGTTTAGGAGGCCATAATGCAAGAAATAGGCTAACAAAATATGGGACAAAAATTATTGGGAATTTTTTTCACTGTGGTGTCATAGTTGCAAATTACTTTTAACTAGAGAAATTGAATTTCCTGCGGAAATGCAGTGTAAATGCTTATTGCAGAACAACTTGCAGAAAAACAGCTGAAATTAGCTAAAAAAAATTCTGAAAAGTAGCTGAAATGGAAGGACAAGCCTAAATCGGCAGAAGAAAGCAAAAAGAACACATATTTGTTGAATTAGGTTTAAATAAGCAGAAATGAGAAGATAAACAAAGAAACTGGCTAAAAAAGCTGACATTAGCAAATAAAAAAAGAAGCTGAAAAGTAGTTGAAAAGGCAGAAAGAAGCCTAAACTACCAGATGGAAGCAGAAAGAACGAGATAAAAAAATGTGGAATTAACTGAAAAACAAACTAAAATTAGCATAAAAAGAGCTAAATAGTAGCTGAAAGAGCAGAAAAAATCTGAAACTTGCAGACAAAAGCTGAAAGGAGCATAACAAACTGAAATTACGGTAGCATAAAGAAGTTAATTCGGCTGAAACACAAAAAACTTGGAATTTATATGAAAACAGCTGAAATTTGCTAAAAAAAATGCTATAAAGGTAGCTGACAAGTTAAAACAAGCTTAAATTAGCAGAAGAAAGCAGACAGAACACGTTTGCCAAATCAGACTGAAAGAAACATAAATTGGCACAAAAAAATGGAAATTATCTGGGGAAAAAAGCTGAAATTAGCATAAATACTGCTGAAAAGTAGCTAAAACATTAAAAATAAGCTTAAATTGCTAGAAGGAAGCGGAGAAAGCGTGTTTGCTGAATTAGGCTGAAAAAAGTTAAAATTATTGCAAAAAAATGTGGAATTAGCTGAAAAAGCTAAAATTAGCATAAAAATAGCTAAAAAGTAGCTGAAATGGCAGTAAAAACTGGAACTTGCATAAACAAGCTGAAAGGAGCATAACAAGCTGCAACTAGCAGAAATGAGTTATAAGAAGCACAAAAATGTTGTAGATAGCTTAAAGAATCTGAAAGGAGCACAAAACAGCTGAAAGTAGCTGAAAAAAGTTAAAATTTGCACAAGAAGCTGAATCAGAACAAAATGTGAACGGAGCAGTAAAATGTTGTAAACATATCTAAAGATTTGACGGATATAAAACGAGCTCAATTCATTTTCTATTAGAAGAAAAAATGGCAGAAAAGGCAAAATATTTCAAAAAGCTAAAGTTGTACCAATACCAAAAGTCATAGCAGGATTATCCTGAAAGAGCTTTTGATATACGACTTTGTTGAAATAGCACAAAAATTGTGGAACAAGGAAGATGATTAAAAACGTGTGGAAGAAAAATGGATCACAACAGTGTGAATTCTTCACAAACATTCACACTATTAATTCTGTCAACGTGTTTGATTTAGGTTTCAGCCTTCTACAAAGCAAACATTCCCAGAAGAATCATGTGCGACAGAAGACGGTGAGGAGGAGTCTTTTGCAGAGTGGGAAGAAAGCTGGGAAGGCGGTGATGAGCCTCAGGTGTGTTTGGCTCCTTCCCTCCTGACTCCTCCGTGCTGTTTCAGCTAACATTCAGGTTGTTGTGCTCCTCAGAACCCTTCAGCCCCTCTGAAGCAGACAGAAGAGAAGCGTGGTGAACATCGTCCTAAAAAACAACCCACACACTTCATCTCCTTCCGGGCCAACACTCCTGCCATCCTCTCCTGTTTCCAGCAGCTGCAGGAGGAGCTCACCTCCCTGCTGCCCTCCTCTGCTCCTCACTGGCAGACCGCCTCCAAGCTCCACGTCACCCTGTGCCTCCTGGTGTTGCGCGGCCCTGCCGAGGTGGCGGCTGCCGCCGAGATCCTCCGCAAGTTCGCTCATTTGGATCGCAACCCGCCTGTGGGGGTGAGCTTCCCCGTGAAGCTGAAGCATTTTAACGGGAAGGTGTTGTACCTGAGCCCCCAGCCTCAGCTCCACCTCCACCAGCTGAACTGTGGCCTGCAGGAGGCCTACAGGAAGGAGGGCTGGCTCCACAGGAGCTCCTACAACCCACGCTACCACCTCACCCTGGCTAAGGTAGAAGACAAGGACGGGGAGAGGATTTTTGAGGGGGTGGGGGATCTGAAAGTTGGAAAGGGTTTGAACTTTGGCCGCCTACCCGTTAACACCTTACACCTTTGTACAGTCGGTGGGTCCGGAGTGAATGACTTTTATCCGGCTGTTTGCTCCGTAACTCTGCGATGAAGAAAAAGTTTGTCACGTCTAGGCCTGTCGCGATAAACAATAAATCAGTTAATCGCACGATAAATGACAATTATCGACCTCATTTTCATTTAACGGCTTTATCGTTTCTTCGTGTCTCAGTCATTCTACTGCGAATCTCAAACCACACGAACATCTGCCATTTTGAGACCCGAAGAGAGACAGCCCATGACACGTCAAGGGGCCTCCCTCCCATTTTTCTTAGAGACACGCTGCTCACTCTCTCACTATCCATCCTTCAGTTCAAACAGTCTTATACTGCCATCCGGTGGTCGATAAACGGTACTACATGCAAAACAAATAAACATTTCTTATTACATTTGACATTAATTACTAATTATTGTCAAATTTCAAACAATAATATCGTTTATCGCAATAATTTCTGAGACGATTAATCGTCCTGCAAAATTTGTTATCGTGACAGGCCTAGTCACGTCACACAAACACTATGAAGCAGATCAATGTTTGTTTCAGTACTTACAGTAATTATAGAGCTGAATGTTCGTTTACATCCTGGTGCAATAGGCGGTGTGGCTTTATTATATCAAAGCTGAAGCTTGCTTTAATGTTTTTACTTTACAGAAGTCTCAGAAAAGCCTTTTTCAATCAGGACACATTGACTGACTTTCTCTTAAAAACAAACCCAACTCAGAACTTATCAGTTATACTAAACATAAATAGTTTTTAGGAGTCAAAAGAGCATAAGAAATAAAATGTTTGATATTATTAATTTACATTTTCTTTTGTTTTACAAAACGGATTCCAAAAAAGTTGGGACACTAAACAAATTGTGAATAAAAACTGAATGCAATGATGTGGAGGTGCCAACATCTAATATTTTATTCAGAATAGAACACAAATCACAGATCAAAAGTTTAAACTGAGAGAATGTATCATTTTAAGGGAAAAAATCTGTTGTTTCCAAATTTCATGGCATCAACAAATCCCAAAAAAGTTGGGACAAGTCCATTTTTACCACTGTGTGGCATCTCCCCTTCTTACAACACTCAACAGACGTCTGGGGACAGAGGAGACCAGTTTCTCAAGTTTAGAAATAGGAATGCTCTCCCATTCATGTCTAATACAGGCCTCTAACTGTTCAATCGTCTTGGGCCTTCTTTGTCGCACCTTCCTCTTTATGATGCGCCAAATGTTCTCTATAGGTGAAAGATCTGGACTGCAGGCTGGACATTTCAGTACCCGGATCCTTCTCCTACGTAGCCATGATGTTGTGATTGCTGCAGAATGTGGTCTGGCACCATCGTGTTGAAAAATGCAGGGTCTTCCCTGAAAGAGATGACGTCTAGATGGGAGCATATGTTGTTCTAGAACCTGAACATAGTTCTCTGCATTAATCAGAGTCAGAGTCAGAGTTTCTTTATTGTCATTCGCACCTCATGTGGTGGAGCGAAATTATGTACACAGGGTCCCAGTTACATCCAACAATAAAATGTATAAGAAAAACAGTAATAACATCTAAGATATGAACTAAGAAAAACATCAACTAAATATACACTAAGCACTAAGCATTAATGGTGCCTTTCCAGACATGCAAGCTGCCCATGCCACAAGCGCTCATGCAACCCCATACCATCAGTGATGCAGGCTTCTGAACGGAGCGTTGATAACAACTTGGGCTATCCTTGTCCTCTCTGGTCCGGATGACATGGCGTCCCAGTGTTCCATAAAGAACTTCAAATCGTGTCTCATCTGACCACAGAACAGTATTCCATTTTGCCACACTCCATTTTAAATGACCCCTGGCCCAGTGCAAATGGCTGAGCTTGTGGAGCTTGCTTAGAAATGGCTTCCTCTTTGCACTGTAGAGTTTCAGCTGGCAACGGCGGATGGCACGGTGGATTGTGTTCACTGACAGGGCTTTCTGGAAGTATTCCTGAGCCCATTCTGTTATTTCCTTGACAGTGGCATTCCTGTTTGAGGTGCAGTGACGTTTAAGGGCCGGGAGATCACGAGCATCCAGTAGAGTTTTACGGCCTTGACCTTACGCACAGCGATTGTTCCAGATTCTTTGAATCCTTTGATGATGTTATGCACGGTTGATGATGATAACTTAAAAGTCTTTGCTATTTTACGCTGGGTAACACCATTCTGGTATTGCTGCACTATCTTTCTGCGCAACAATGGTGGAATTGGTGATCCTCTTACCATCTTGGCTTCTGAGAGACACTAACACTCTGAGAAGCTCTTTTTATACTCAATCATGTTGTCAATTGACCTAATTAATGTTAATTGGTCTTCCAGCTGTTAGTTATATGCTCAATTTCCTTTTTCCAGCCACTTATTGCTACTTGTCCCAACTTTTTTGGGATTTGTTGACACTGTGAAATTTTGAATCAACATATTTTTCCTTTAAAATGTTACATTTACTCAGATTAAACTTTTGATCTGTCATCTATGTTATATTACGAATAAAATATTGACATTTGCCATCTCCACATCATTGCATTCAGTTTTTATTCACAATTTGTTTAGTGTCCCAACTTTTTTGGAATCCGGTTTATACTTTAAACATTAAAAGGGGGCAAATTGTATTTAGTGTTCAATAAAATAAAATAAAATATGTGCAGAATTAGACATTAAAGCCCTAATTTTAACGTTTTCAATGTTCTTACTTCATTATATTTTTAGTTGGATTTAATGACTTCAGTTCATCTGAACCACAATAACCAACCGTAGCGGAACTGAGTTGTCTTTAGAGGTTTCTAAGCTTTTGTGTCTCCACAGAGCGCTTGATAAAAAGGATCATGTGGCCCCAGTGGCTCTAAAGAAACAAAATGACTCCATAAAGAGTTTTGACTTTTGGAAATTATCACCGAAAACTTTAAACGTAGCCTTATAGGGACGACACTGAGACAAAAATGAGATTTTCTCATCTTTATATTAGAAAATATTAGGAAAATGGTTAATTTATCTTAAACAAGAGTTAATCCTGGATTTGTCAGAGTGTGGCCTGTTAGATACAGTAGTCCCTCGCTACTTTGCGGTTTGTTTATCGTGGATTTTCTCTATCACGGTTTTTCAAAATAAGATTGGACATGACGCACAACTGTGATTGAAGGAGGATGAGCCGCACGATCGGCATGGATTTTTATTTAAAATAAATTATTTAAAATTATTTAGCATCTGCTGCATCTTTGTGCAGCCCACACTGCAGAATAAGCTTCCTGCTGCAGCTGATCAGCTGTTCTCGGTGCAGAGCAGAGAAGTGGGCGTGGCCAAGAGCACTTGCAGGTGGCAAAGAGCAGAGCAGGCACAGAGAGGGAAATCATGACCTTCTGTGCTCTTTTAGAGTGTTTAGAGTTTAGAAACATTGTTTAGAATATTGCAAGAGTGTGGGAAGCTTTTAAAATGCCTTTATTCATGTATATTCTTTTCAATTCAAATTCAAAAATACTTTATTAATCTCAAAGGGAAATTATTTATTGCTGTAACTCGTTATCCTCATTTCATTGAGATGTTATAGATACTGATGGCTGTAGACAGGAAGGATCTCTTGTAAAAATCTATCCCACAGTGGATCTTAAGAAACTGGCTGCAGATGCTGTCCGATCCGTCCACACAGACTCAGCTGGCCTCTCGGTTCCCCCAGACTGTAGGACCGCCCTAATGGCAGGCAGAACTCCTCCCAGAGCGATGGCCACGCCTCCTAGCAATCTGCCGAGCTCCTTGTCGCTGTGGACAGCCAACTGTAGGTGCCGAGGGACGATCCTGTCCTTCCACTGTCATGACCCGTGTTTCCTGCTAGTTCCAGGATCTCAGTGGTCACTCGAGCACAGCTGGCAGGTAGATGAGAATGCATCCACAGAACATCCTTTTCAACTCATTTGAGATTTGGGGCTGTAGTTGAGATATTATTTGAGCTTTTGAGATGTTAATCAGCTGCTGTTGGTTGTAGAAAACTGCCTTGTTGCCATGGTTACGCATCATAACAAATGTCCAAAACTAAGAAAAGTTTCAGTAAAAGTCCTTCCAGCTGCACAGCATCTGATACCAGAGGAAACAATCATCCAAAAAATGTGATATTCCTACTTTGTGGTTTTTTACTTATCGCGGGTCTTTAGGGAACGGATCTGCTGCGATAAACAAGGAACTACTGTATAGTTTTACACAAGTTCTCTGTCTACACAGACTGGATAAAGAAAGTTTTAAAACACCTGAGGTGAAACGGACTGTAAAAGCATGGACAACTGTCAGGGAAAACGTCTTTTGCTGCATATTTTTTATTATTACCGACATGATTTTACGATTTCTGTGCCTCTGACTGAGGAGCATCATTGGGAATAAAGTGGTTTAATGTCTTATTTAATTATTATCAAGGTCATTTTTCAAACTGCCTCGTCTTGAGTAGACATTATACTTTGTTTTTGGTTTTTTTTATTGTTGATGAATCAAAGCTTGTGGCTGAGGGGGTCCATTTTTTTCCCTTCCACACAGGTCTTACAAAGACCGAAAACAAATAAAATTATTCTCATGGAGCTAAATCTTCTTTATTTGTGTTGTAAAGTTATTAATAACCGGCACAGTTCACTCTGATTTATTCAGTCTGTTTAATATGAAAACTGCATGAAGCGGAGCGACCGCTTCCTTTTCCTCCACACATCATTTTAACGGGTTACTGCAGTTTTAAATATTAAATTGGGTAGTTTAAGGCCTTTGAGTAGTTTTATTTAATAATTGCAGTAACGGATGTTCCAACACTCCCCACCCCCCCACACCTCCTCTCAGACTGAAGTCGTACATAAATTATATAATTTTGTCTTCTCCTCCATTTTCCTCTGATCCACACGTTTATGAGTCGGTGAATATGCTCTGCAGTTTGCTGGTTTTGCCTCCCTTCCCCCACTCGCCTCTTTTCAGTGACACAGAAAAACCAACCCCCCCCTCCCCTTTCGCCTCCCCCCCCCATCCTTTCTCTGATGGGAGACAAACACTTTTTATTCTTTCTCACCACGTTTCACCTCTACATGTCTTTGATGAGCGCTTCTTGTCCCAACAACTTTTAAATTTTCCATTTTGATCACCATCGCGCCCGTCGTGTCGTTAAAACGCTCTCCGCCACCTCCTCGCCTCCTGCTTCCGTCCTGCAGCCTCCACCGAGCACCGCTCCTGCCTACAAATCCACTGCACGCTGCCTTTGCCCCCTTTTCACTTCATTGTTCGCTCCATCCGTCGCTCGCCCTCCCTCCCTCTTTCTCTCAGCATCCTTCCCTGGGAACCCACTCCCCCCCCCACTCCCCCTCTCAGTATTTCATATTCTCTGCAACTCCTCCTAAAATTCATCTCTTTGTGCCAGTTTGCCTCTCTTATCCTTTTCTTTTCCTCACAGGCAGGAGTTTTCTATTTTTGCCTCTGAGATGTGCCCAGACTTTTAAAAAGTCCTCCTCATCAGTCCTTGCAGCCACTGAAAAGACTTTAGTTTTTGTTTTTTTTCACTCTTTTTTTAATCTGGAACAGGAGTTGGTTCGGTGGGGGTCGGTATTACAAGATCCAACGGAGCGAAGGGGTTCGACCCTTCTAATCCACGTTAACACGTTAATTATCTCAGAGCAGCATCGTGTCGCTGCAGCGTCGCAAAGTCATTCGGGTGTTAAGCGACGAAGGGGCAACAATGCAATGATCAAAAGTCCCTCAGGGCTGTCTCCTCAATCTTAATCCCTCCCTCTCTCTCTCACCCACTCGCTCTCGTTGAGAGCTCCTCTCCCATCCATCAACACAAGCACCTCTCCTCTGTCGCCAGACGACCACACCATCATTGACCGTTTTAATTTTTCAGTAAGCTGCCAGAGCTGCTGGCGTGTTTTGGGCAACATTTTTTTTTTTTTTTGGGGGGGGGCATGTCTCTGAGCTGCTTTTTTTCAGGATGATGAATTCTCAAGAGCGTCAAGCGTTAACGGCAGCCGCCGTGCCTCTCTGAGTGGCTAAATATTTCACGGACACCGGCGGAGAGAAGAGACGGGAGGAGAGAGATCTCCCCAGCAGCCGACGGGAGGTAAGAGACTGATTCTTGTTGAAATGGCTCCACAGCTGATGTGGCTGCACATTAGTCATCCTTGAAATGGAATATAATGTGAAGTGCATGTTTGTTTCACAGTTTTAATGTTTATTTCTAATGTGGTTGTGGTTGCAAATGCACTTGGAGGGGTTTTGGTGAAACCGTCATGCTGGATGAGCTGCAGGGATTCATCTTTTATCTTCGCAACCATCAACCCTAATTGAGGTCTTCACCCATCGACGTTTTTAGTGGATGCAATTAAGCAAAGGATGCTGTGACGCGTCCATCGCATCCACTGATTTCCTCACCGTTCGAGGTTTTAAAACACGTTCAAGGCGTCTGAAAATTCCCTGAAAGTTTCGTCTGTGTGGACACGTTTTGTCCCCGTCGAACTTCGCCTCACGCTGGACGCTTCGGCTGTTTATTGCCTTCGGTCAGTTGCTCGGAGAAGAGCAAACATTTTCAGATGGAACTAGGTTAAGATTCAGTTTAAAGGCTGGGTAATGAGTTTATCTTAGCTGATGAAATGGGCACTAAAGATGTAATGTTCTCATAAACTACAACCCCTAAAGAAGCTCTGCTGTTAAGAAGCTGCAAGTTGACGACTCGGGCTGTAATCATGACAGTTTTATGAGGCCAATTGGAAATGTGCATCCCTCCAGCTGTAAAAGCGCAGCTTTATTTATATCCTCTGATTCACAGTCAGACAACCGAAAGCAGAAAAGGTGGAGTGGATTTTCCTGCACTGAAGATGAGCCTAAATTCAGCTGACTGAAGACACTTTAGCCTCGTTCTCATTAGCCGCATCACAAAATGGCCCTTTTTCTTTGCATCCAGAGATCATGGAGTCTCACATGCACGAGATTTCACCCTCGCTGGCGTGTGAGCGTCACCCACAAACGAGGCGGCATATTTTTCGAACGTGTTTTTGTGTTTCTAAGCCTGTGAGCTCACGTTAAGTTTAAACTCTGTGGATTTATTCAGTCTCTCCTTGTCTTTTTCTTCTTTTTGCCGTTTCTTAAAAAAGCTCATATTGTTCAGTTATGCAATGATGATATTAAGAAGCTGGCGGGAGATATCACGTCACCTTGAGGCTTCCTATCTGTGACAACTGCTGAGTAATCCCCTGCTCCAGGACCCCCCCACCCCCACCCCCCTTCATTTTTTAATTGGAGCCGATCCTTCACCTGATGTCTGATCTTTCATAGATGTGCGATCCTTCATCTTTGTATTATTGTGCAGTCAAGGCACGTGATGCTCAACGCTGCAAAATTCCCATAATTTTCTGCTTTGGAAACTTTCCATGGGACTTGATGGGAATAAATCTTGTATTTAAACTATTAAAGGTAGACCCTTAACAAGGATTTTAAATATAGCTGGAGGAAATGAGTTTGATCACAGTCTTGACTAAAACCAGCAGATTTCATCGCTGCATCGTGCAGTTAGAGGAACCACACCCTGACAAGTGATGAACTGTCACCTGGACCAGGAGAGACCGATGAAAACACTTTAGTTTGTTGTTAAATACATTTTACTGACGTTTGTTTGTATAAAGAGAAGATGACAACAACAACAAAAAGCCTAAATAATGTTAAAATTACATGTAAGTAGTTTTGTTCAGAGTTGTGTGGATTAAAGTCAGCATTTTTTTTATAAATAAATATACCGGTAAGCATTTTCAGGGAATTTTATTTTGGAATTTTCATAGAAGGGATTATTTTTGGCTTTTATTTGAATAAAATGAGGGGAAAAAAAACATGAAAAACATATTACATGAATATTTTTGTTTAGTGTTGCATGTTAGGCTGATTGGTAACTCTAAATTGTCCCTAGGTGTGAGTGAGAGAGTGAATGGTTGTTTGTCTCGTTTGTCTCTGTGATGGACTGGAGACCTGTCCAGGGTGTCCCCCTCCTCTTGCACAGTGACTGCTGGATATGGATATGGGTACCAGTGACCCCTGTGACCTGAAAAGGAAGAAGTGGGTAAAGATAATGGATGGATGGATACGACGACACGAAAGAGAGAACTTAAACGTTTTCTGAAGCGTCTGTTGTGACAGTGATGTCATAATGTGCAGATCAGTCACTAAATTAGTTACCTTCATAAACTTTGGCTCAAACTAATTATTTGCTCATGACATTAGCTTGTGACAAAACAAATGGTTTATATTTTTCTCTCAACATGGTACAGTGTATTTAAATCACACCCAATTCCCTGTTAATTCCCATAAAAATCCTATAATTACCATGTAGCATTTGGGGAATATTTCTCTCCATAACTTCTCTTTGAAAGTTTATGAGTAATTTTCCACCTCGTTGCAACCCTAGCGATACTTCAGAAATACTTTTCTTTCATCAAGACGAATACTTTCATCCTGACTTGGTGAAAAACTGGGTTTAAAATGGAAGACACTTGCTGTCTTTTGTTTTCCTGCCACTGATCATCATCATGGCTTTTTTTTTATTGTGGTGGTATTGTAATCTCACCGGACAGATTTATTCTCATTTTATTGAAAGATCATTCCTGTAGTTGTTTATTGCACCACTTGGAAGGCTTTTACCCTCAAAGGTTGATAAACGTCCGTTGCAGAGCTGCCTCTCCGCTCCAGTTACACGCCTAACCAGATGAATTTATTGAAGTTAAATCACCGCGTGTGGAAAAGATCACGTTGGTTTACTCCACTGAGGTGTTTGCTGACGTATCTCCAAGCGACCTGCTCAGTTTTAACAAGAGTACTGAAGTGTGGGCAGTGTGCTGCTGGACCCGTTAAGGTGGCCAGGCTTAGAGCAGCGCTGTCCGGCCTGTGGGCGATCTGTTAACGCGTTCCTCGGACGCAGACGACCCTGAATGGTGAGCTTGTTCCAGTGTGTGCGGTGGTAAAAATCAAAACTCTTTATCCTGCACTGTATTGAACTGGGGGATGTTTGGATGTTTATAAGCACAGCAGCTGCCTCTGTGTGGGGAATCAATAGGGACAGAAATGAGCCTCAGTAAAGTGGAACAGGGTGCCGATTGAAAGTTTTGTTTGTTTAAAGGATCGTTAATGGCAAAGACTTAAAAAAAAATCCAACACAGACCATGAATTGAGAACGTATGTGTGTTTTTATTCATGCAGCTCTGTATCAGGCTGTGATATCAGCATTGTATAACTCTATATTTTATGTTAGTTTAAATAGTTCCCTGTGTTCTCCCTCTGATGGTTTCTTAATAAGTGTAGCGGTTGTTCTACTCGCCTTCTTCTTGTCCTGTCCCTGTTTGTTGTTTTTGTCATCGGGATTTCACTGTGTGTGATACTAACTGGATTTGTCCTCTGTGTATACTCCACGTTCTCCTTGACCGGCTTTAGGAAGATGTCGAACAGTGGATGGTGACCGCTCAAGTCATCTGTTTTTATTCTGTGGCTTTTATTACACCGTGTGCACACTCCTGTAGGTCTGGGTCTGGGGGGTCCTCCCCCAGAAAACTTTGAAATGCCATTTCCTTCATTCTGGTGTATTTTAATGAGTTGTTAAACATCTACGTTTACCTACATAAAACACTTGATTCAATAACGATTTTAGAGCTCGGCACAACAACAAGTAGCGCTAAGCTAGCAGCATGCAATACAAACGCAATAGTTAAAATGCTACAGACGTAGCACTCCGCTTTACATTACACGACCTAATAAATGCATTGTATAAAATCAATTTAGTGTTAACTGATCATAACAATAAGACTAAACTTATCCAACCTGAAGTTGCAACATATATCTACATACAAAACACACAAAACAAAGCACAACTAGCTTTAAGCATTATATTTAACCATTAAGTATACAACATGACAGAAAATGGAGGTTTACCTGCAGTTACCTTCATACAGATGAACATTCAGCTGATCATGAGGTCGGCCGCAGGGCTTTATCCATCTTATATATTTTTCCGGACTCAGTTTAGGTTTTGGAAATGGAATAAACTGTATTCCCCCCTCTAAATCAGGGCTATTCAACTAAACTGCTCAGGGAGCCACAGTTACTGAAAGCCAGCAGCTCAGGGGCCGGACATCCAGCAATTAAAGTCATTATGTAAAGAAACCAAGTTTTACAATGATCTGTTACCTTTTAAATTTATTTATTTTGTTGCATTGAATCATAAATGCAATAAACAGAACCTAAAACTCAGAACTGCCCCCCCCCCCAAAAAAAATTGTAATAATTAAAAAAAAAATCTTTATTTTTCAGAAAATTTAGAGGTGCTTGAGCACCCACAAAAAAGAGGCTAACATCGCCACTGGGCTGCTCTAAATAAAGTATGCTCAGTTTTTTTAAGTAAAATTAGAAGTGATCAAAATATTGTGCGTTTAAAATATCATGGAGGCCAGATAAGATGTTAACTTGGGCCATATTTGACCCTCGGGCCTTGAGTTTGACACATGTTCTGTAGCAATTAGTTTTTTATTTTTTTTTATTTTATTTAGATTCTCTCATTTATACACCTTTTTATGATCAAAACAAGATTTTTTTTTATGAAAGTGACTGCTGAATTTTGGCACCAGTGACCCCCGCAACACAGAAAAGAAGAAGCGGGTAAAGATAATGTATAATAGTTAAAAAATAAAATAAAAAACTTTGTCTAATGCATCAAATGTATTTGAGCTTAGATTATATAAAACATAAAGTATTTAAAAAAATACAAAAAATTGGAAATTTTTTGTCTAACTGGCAAATTAACTTGTTTTTATCTCTAAATTCATGTGCTCAATAAAAAAAACTGGTATTTTTGGTTGAGTTAGTTTTTTATTTAATTTGGCATAAATTTACACACTCCTTACTTTATTTAAATATGAAGCAACATCCAGTGACACGTTTGAAAGTTTAATTTAAAGTGATAGTTCAGATCTTTTTGAAGTGGAGTTCTGTGGAAAGGTTGCAAACAGTATCTTACCTGTTGTAGATAGCTCCTTGATCAACCTCATTTTGGACAAACGGAGTTTAATTCTAGTGACGAGCTAACGGCTTTTTTAATTAGGGCTAAGACCAGAGTGGGCTGCCACCTTAAAACAACTTTAATCACAAAATTTTCACAACCGTTCATGCAAGAAAGTTTGTAGACGTTTACCTAATCAGTTTTAAGCAACAGCTAGCTGCTTCAGCTGCTATTTCTCCTCGTGAACAACCAGATACATTTTAAATTAAGCTAGCCCTCCTTTAAAGATTGCAAATTGTTGATTCACGCAGTCTGTTACTGTTCAGAATATGTGACGAATGAGTGACTCACTACTACCACCACAAATGTTATCAAAATGTCTACATTTATAAGAACTACAGCCTTAGATTGTTTAGTTCATCTTGAATCAGGCTGACTTTAAGTGTAATCTGTTGTAGATGTGCGTCCAGTGATCGCTTTCTGAAAGTTTAATTAAAATTTGTCCTCTGGTTCAGGAGATATTTTGCTCACACACAGGTAATCATAGCTCACCCTGCACGGCAGAGGGTGATGATAACCATCTAATTCAAAACTGAGTGCCATTTTAAGCTTGATAGAAAAGGAGTTTTGCATGAACCACTATTGGAAGTTAGTTGTTTTAAAACTGCAGTAATCCACTTTAACTCCATTTCTCCAAAGTGAAGCTGTTCATACAGCCATCTAGGACAGGTAAGATGATAATCGTAAACATTCCACCAAACCCCAGTTACAAGGATGCAAACTACCTTCTTCATGTAGACGTGTAAATCCATTAACTGCACTGTTTGTTTTTTTCCTGCCTTGTTCAGCTGTAACGACGAGACAAAAACCTTCACCTCTCTTTGGCCTTTCCGTTCTCCCCTGTTCTTCCTTCACATCACGGTTCTTCTGACCCCCGTGTCTTCCCTCCTGCAGGGTGGAGGAGGGGGTCGCTGGCAGTGGAAAAAAAAATAAAAAATGGCTGCCATGACAACAGTGCCCAGCTACGCTCCTTCGATATGGGTGAGGATGTGTCACGCTCTGCCCCGGCTGGACTTCAGTATGCAGATGAGGGACAACATCTTTGTCCCCGACAGCTGGGAGTACCAGCAGGTAACAGAGTCTTGACTCAAGCGCTCACACCACATATGAATAACCCGAGGTGTCAGGCTGCATAATGATTTCAGTTGCTTCGGTGTGGTTTACTATAAGGACGAACGATTTATGCCACACGACTATAATAATTGCTCCATAAATCCCTGAATTATTAGCAACCTGCTGAAGCATGAAAATGACATTTGCAGGGCTCTAAAACTCTTTTCCATGTTTATTAATTGACACAATTATAGGTGTAAGATTGCACTAAATCATTGCCTGGTCAGATTTTGTAGCTTCAACTTGCTGGAGATGCTGTTGTCTTTCCAAATATGGATAGTCTGCATGTTTCCAATGTTGTTTTTCTCTGCATGTTGCCGTTTCTGCAGCAAAATGGCAACGTTTCACCTCTTCCAGCTCGCAGTGCTCCTGTTTTCACTGTGCTGCAGAGAGGAGGTGGGTTAGGGAGCGAGAGCACAATTCATCCTGCAGAACAGAAAGACAAAAGAGACAAGAGTGCTCACAGAGAGGGGAATGAGGCAGGCAGTGAGTAATACGAGGACTTGGTGAACTGGGCAGAGAGAGGGAAGGCAGTCAGAGCGAGAGCCAGAGAGAGTGGCAGTGAATGTATTTAAGTAGGTCACAGATTATTAATAGAGATTCAGCGGTGTGGCTAGAAAGAACGAAAGAATGGGAAGGGAGAGGGCGAGAGTGGGAGAACGTGGGGGGAAACGGGCAAATGGTGGAGCGGAGCAATGAGCAGGGGCCTCGGAGAACAGGAGGTGAGACAGAGGGAGGAAGGTGGAGTGGCAGACGGGCAGATGGACGGAGGATAATGCTGCAGTAATGTGTTGGTGCGAAACGTGTTTCAGTAATGTTGACTTTGTGACATGGCTCCAAAGTAGAATCTGATATGGCTAAGAGCCCTGAAACTCCATCATGGTGCAGAACACGTCAAGGTTCATATCTTAAAGCCTATAAAATAAGGCATTATGCTCATGTTAACAGAGGTAAATTAGGCTTTTTTTTCATCTTTATTTGCATGTAATGTGTGATGCACTAAGCATTTGTTCTAAAGGGATCTCTGACTAGTCGGAACAATAGACCTTATTTGATAAACAAATACTTAATCTATTAAAACAAGACTAAAAATTACTATAGGCTGCTGACTTTTTTATAATTTTCCAAAAATTAATGACACACGGACGTCGCCACTTTAATATTTTTGCTGCAGTGCATTCTGGGTAAATGACATAGCCAGGTTGCTCCGGTGTGAGCTCCAATCAGCTTGAATTTTAAGTTTGGATATTCTCTGACGTTCAGCCCTTTAGTTTTAACTGGAGCGTGTTGACAGAGAGCAGAATGCATAAATGACTCTTAATAACCAAAACTGTTTGCTCTGGAAATAAATGCTAACGAAATATATCATTAGATCAGGAGCTAATATACAGGTGCTGGTCATAAAATTAGAATATCACGAAAAAGGTGATTTATTTCAGTAATTCCATTTAAAAAGTGAAACTTGTATATTATATTAATTCATTACACACAGACTGGTGTATTTAAAATGTTTATTTATTTAAATGTTGATGATTATAACTGATAACTAATGAAACCCCAAATTCAGTATCTCAGAAAATTAGAATATTACTTAAGACCAATAAAAAGATGGATTTTTAGAAATGTTGGCTAACTGAAAAGTATGAAGATGAAAAGTATGCGTATGTACAGCATCAATACTTAGTCGGGGCTCTTTTTGCCTGGATTACTGCAGCAATGCATTGTGGCATGGAGTCCATCAGTCTGTGGCACTGCTCAGGTGTTATGAGAGCCCAGGTTGCTCTGATAGTGGCCTTCAGCTCTGCTGAATTGTTGGGTCTGGTGTATCACATCTTCCTCTTCACAATAGCCCATAGATTTTCTATGGGGTTAAGGTCAGGTGAGTTTGCTGGCCAATTAAGAACGGGGATACCATGGTCCTTAAACCAGGTACTGGTAGCTTTGGCACTGTGTGCAGGTGCCAAGTCACCAAACCATCACTGACTGTGGAAACTTGACACTGGACCTCAAGCGACGTGGATTCTGTGCCTCTCCTCTCTTCCTCCAGACTCTGGGACCTTGATTTCCAAAGGAAATGCAAAATTTACTTTCATCAGAGAACAAAACTTTGGACCACTCAGCAGCAGTCCCAGGCGAGACGCTTCTGACGCTGTTTCTTGTTCAAGAGTGGCTTGACACAAGGAATGCGACAGCTGAAACCCATGTCTTGCATACGTCTGTGTGTGGTGGTTCTTGAAGCACTAACTCCAGCTGCAGTCCACTCTTTGTGAACCTCCCTCACATTTTGGAATGGGTTTTGTTTCACAATGCAAATATTGTTTAAACTCAATCAAAAAAAAAAAAACCGAGAAATCAGGTTTTCTTTTTAAAAATTTGCATTTGTGCATGTGAAATTTAGCTTTAACGATTAATAGATTAATTAAGAAAATCTTCAGATTCATTTTCATGTTTAAACCCAAACAGGACATTTTCCCAATATAATTGAAACTGCTTGTATCTTTCAGTCAACATAGTTACAAAAGTGTTGCCAAAACACTTTAGAATGAGGACACATCCAGAACAAATGAGTAACGGATTCAGGGCGACGATCACAAAAGGAACAGTTTACCACAGTGTTAGTGCTGAATTTCTTTAAGTAGTCTTTAGCAGGGTAGATCCTGTGTATGAGTTTGAAGGACACTTCTTTTACCTTGTTAGTGAGAAGAAAGTGATTTGGGAGCAACCAGGTAAATTTCCAAGAAATATTATTCTGAAAGTAATTCCAATATGATACAACAGCAGGAGTAGAAGTAACATCCCTGGATCTAATTGACTCGTTATTGTTCCCAAGAAGAGGGAGAAGGCATATTTTGCCATCAGGAGAGTGTATGGGAGTAAGATGCCCACCAATGTTTTTAATACGTGCGTGTGGGGGCATGGCTCCATTAGCTCCAGAGTTGCTAGCGTTAGCTTCCTAGCTAATTAATGAAACGTCATAATTTGATCACATTTGATTGTTCCAACCTATATTGTGCATAAGGACTAATACAAAATGTAACTTTCTTTTCCATGTTATAATTTTTATCCTTGACTCCTTTTGTCGATGTACATCATCGTCCCAGAATGCACTGCACCAGAAAAACAATGGTGACGTTCTTAGCTGAAGAATGAGTAACAGGAGTTTTCATGCGTCACAAACAACAACTTTTAGTAGAATAGAGAAACAACGTATTAAGATCAATATGTGTAAGTATTTAGAGATCCCTGCACTTTTAAACTGCATCTGCTGCTGTTTTTGTGGGCAGGACATTGAAGAATTTGAAATCAGTCCTTGCATTTATAAAAAAAAAAAAAAAATGAAGTGAACTTTTTTTAAACACACTGACTCATCTGCCTATCTCACTGTCCTCCTTGTCCTGTTTCCAGACTTTGCTGGTTTTGTCCAGTCTATCAGCCATCGCTCTTGTCATCTCCCTCCTGGTGGTCCTCTCCTTCCTCATACACTACTGCTGCTGTCGCCGTGGAGACCGGAGCGAGGGATCCGAGGAGGAGGAGGATGAAGACGGAAGCACGGGTCACGGTTACAGTGGGAAGAAGGGGAAGGGCATCTGCTGCGTCACGTGGGTGGCTGTCGCCTCTGTCACGCTATGCTGGTGAGGCGCAGAAATCGGATGCTCTTTTTTTTCTTATTTTCATGTTGCCTTTCAGCTGAGGTCATTCAGATATTTTTAAAGCTGTGTTCTGTAGAAAGGTTTCCAGTGCAGCCTGGAGAACGTCCAGCCGGAATAAAATAATATTCCTGTTAGAATAATCGTGTGATTCAAAACGAGATTTTTCAAATGGCGTCTTGACTGTTGATTTAAGAAAGTGGCAAATTTCAAAAACGGCTCTTGGATTAGCTGTAAGTTCGTCAGTCCGGTCAAAATTAAACTGTTCCTTCAAAGAGTTACGGTATGTACAGCATGCAAGATATTTATTGTTCATAATCTTTCCGCAACACCCCACTTCAAAGATCTCAAAAGTCTTGTAATCATAGTCTTTCACAAACAGTCATTAACTTTAAAATAAAAGTTTTTATATATTTATCAGTCACATGTGCACACATTGAGGATATTTTTCCATTTTGTTAGTTATGAACTGGACTTTTATTGTAAAACTTAATGCCATGTGCTCCAAGACGTTATACATTTACATTAATTTCCTGAGTTTATGTACAGTATAAAGTCGTCTTTAGTTTTTCTCTAGAGAACAATGCAGCTCGTAAACTTTACAACTTGTGAAAAAAAAATAGACTAAAGAAAAAACAGGTTTTAATCTTTTATTTTAATCTTAAAAACTGAGTATAGTCCCGGCCACATTTAATGTTTTATTAACTTGTTCCATTACTGCTACTTATTACTGTTTTTCTTTTACAATTTATACTTTTGTTGTTCCACCACATGTACCACATATGACGCGAATGACGATAAAGAAACTTTGACCTCGACTTACATCCATCACCTCCATTAAAAAGTACATAAGATTGATCCGGTAATGTTTTTTTTTTTTTTTTTTTTACGCACTTTATGATCATAAAAATAAAATAAAATTAAGATCCGTTCAAAATCATACTGTAAAAATCAAAATACAGTAAATATTTAAAGTTTAGCAGACTTGTAACAGAGTTTCTTTAGAAACTATCGAGCAGCTGTTGCTCAACGCTCACTTGGCTGCTGATCATCAATAGTCTGCTCTCTCTCTACTTGCAGTTAAGAAATAGTCTTTAATTGTTAGATATTTCTTGGCGGTAACACCATGTGTACTCTGCTCTCTGGATGAAGCATCAGCTGACAGTTTAATATAAAAGAAATGTATTTTAGCTGCCAATATTCTAATCATGGAAATGATCCCAACCCGCTCTGTCCACGTTGACCGGTTTTTATTTTCCAAACTTTCCCCATGGTTTCATTTCAAATGTTACCTCACTAAAAAAACTAAATGATTAGACAGGAAACAAATCCAAATTTGATGAAAAGTCTAATATTTTTTGCAGTTGCGATACTTTTACATTTTATGTTTGTATAGATGATAATAATAACACTCTGTAGTTTCTCAGAATCCTAATTCTTGGTCAATTAATTTAAATTGAGCCTTTTAAAAAACTTTTAAAAAAAATATATATTTAAGTCATTTTATTTTGAAACTAAATCTTGCAGTTGTAAACAAAAACTTCTCTCTAAATAAATTGTTTGTGGTAATAAAGTCAGGTCTGAATCTTTACATGTTACAATAATTAGACTCATCTTTTCACCAAAAGATGGATCAGTCTATAACTACCAGTTTACAACAATGTGCAAAAATCTTAAGTCATTTTCTTTTTGAGCCAGACTTTTTTGTAATCATTTAAAATAGTTTTGATCAGTAGTTGAGACTTTTTCATTCATCGTCTGTCCAGTGTTTCACTGTTTTCAGAGGGATGATTATTTTTCCCCTACTTTCAGCTGCGTAATCCAACCAATGAATCATTCAGGCATTAAAAGTTTCCAAACTCAAGGGATGAACCAGTGGTGTCGACACATAACAACTGATCAAAAAAACAAATCTTTAAGCATTGTGTCAGTACTGTTTCTGCAATGGCGCAATTTGTGTGGGATTCTTTAGATGAATCTGTGAAAAATACCAAATATCAAATGTCTTTCAACTGTCCCCCTCTTACAATGCTGTGATTGCTAGTATCACTCAGCCCCCTGTGAATAGTAAACAGCCATCAGTGTGCTAATGATCCATTGTTAGGCTGATGGTCCTTCTTGAGCATGTGAGCAGCTGGTTTTGATTGTCAGCAGCAAAACTGGTTGATCCACTCTGAGAAGGTGCTATTTAAGAGACTGAGCTGAAAACAGCTCCTCTGACTGAGGAAGTCTCTCGGATGAGAGACGAAACGTTTCTACATTTTGTTGTTGTTGTTTTGCTTTGTTTTGTTTTTTGAATTTCCAGAGGACCAGATTTAACTTTTTTTTTTAGATTTTTCTACCTGGATTATTGAGCATCCATCAGGATACCAAATATCACAGATGTTAGACAGCCTAAACATTTCTGCAGATTCAGATCACTCATCCAGATCAGCTGAGGTGCAACAAACGATTTATCTTTTTTAGGTAAATTTAAATAAATAATTTCAATGGTTCAAACAACCAAACTAACAGAGGTCCAAACAACATAAAGTAGCTAATGTTGGTTAAAAAAAAAAAACAAATTTCCACTTGACTTAAAATTCTAAAGCAGCCCTTTTATTTTAATTTTAAATAGAAACAGAGCATTAGATTTTATAGTGCGAGAAGGAAAGTTTGAAAATTAATTTTAATTGTGCAGTTTAGATCCAGGACGAGGAAGAAAGAGGAAACGTATGCAGAAGTTGCTTTGTTGTCATCTTTCTTTGTTTCTTAATCGCCAGGGGTGTGACTGTTTTCCACTTTCACACCATCGCTGCTAACAGCTAACGATCAGCTGAAGACGTAGCGCAGCTGAACAAAAGATGAAACAAAAACATAGCTCTGAGTAGTTTAGTAGTTTGAAATAGCTCCCAAAATTCTCATAATCTCTGCTTTTCCCACAGTAGTCAAACGTTAATCTGCCCTGAGGGAACCAAGATGAAAGCTAACGTTAATGTTCAGACTGAGTCGATGGATGCAGCCACACTGTCTGAAAAATAAAGCCAATGTGAAAGTCTCTTGAAGTCCATTAGCATTGTGGGTAGCAGGGCTTGGCTCTCATTCAAAATGTCTCAAGTTAAGTAGGTTTTATTGTCATTCGCATCACATGTGGTACATGAGGTGGAACAAAATTGTGTACACAGGGTCCCAGTTACATCCAACAAAAGCAAAAGTATAAAGTGAAAAAAGAAACAGTAAATGAGGATCTAAGATAGAAACTAAGAAATACGCTAAATGCTAATAGTGCAAAACAATATGCCGAACAACAGCAGCACGAACATGAGTGTGTGAGCAGATGAGTACGAATTAATACGGCAGTGTGAAATAATCAGCATGAGATCAGCTGCATGGATAGTCAGCAGCACTTAAGTCTCAACTTATTTTTAAATTATAAAGTGATTAAAGTTAAATTTCTTCTTAAATTTCAAAGTTCATGCTCAATAATCCAAGTAAAACATCCAACGAAGTTAAGTCAGGCCATCTGGACGGTTTGTTTTTCACTCAGTCTTGAGGGACTGAGTTTGTTGTGGCTCCACAAACTAAAGAAGTCCTTTGGATGAAGGACGAAACGTCTCAACAAAAACAAGAAACCGTCCAGATGACCTGACTGAACTTTGTTGGATTTTGTACCTGGATTATTGAGCATGAACTTTGATGTTTTGAACCACTTTAGCTATAGCTGCATCAGAGGAGTCGACTGGGGAGAGGGCGGGCCCCAGAAACCATCTTATCACCAGCAAACTGGTTGGTCCACTGTGGGAGTGTGCTGCTTGTGGGACTGAGTTTGTTGTGGCTCCTCGGACTGAAGAAGTCCTTTGGATGAAGTATGAAACGTTTCAACAAAAACAAGAAACCGTCCAGATGACCTGACTGAACTTTGCTGTGTTCTTCTTAAATTCTTACTTCCTCATTAGCATAGCAAACAAGCAAAATAAAACCGTGGAAGACACTCCCAAAAAGCACGAGCCTCATATTGGACCAAACGACTGGCTGCGAGCCACAGGCTGTCCATCATCATGTGGTTTCCAGCCTCCGCACAAAGTTGTTATTTTCCTGTTTCCTAACCACATCCAGCAGCAGCGCCGTGTTTCTGGATTTCACCACGTCGGTGCGAGGACGATGTGAACTCAGCAAGTCATTCAAGCACCAGAGTTCCCCCACAGACCTGCTGATCATGAAGTCATCACATTGTGGTTACAGTACATTACGCAGACGCGCTGCTTGACATCGTTCCAACACACTCGTGTTTAATGGAAGTGAAGGCACGATGCTTTACTTCTAAAGCTGCAGCCATCTGTGTGCTTTAAGAAAATTAAAGTGCACTTTAATGCTTTGGCGCGGGCTTATTATCGTCCATTTCCTGCACTTTTATATGCATTGAAACACGGAACATAATGTGCTGCAGATTTGATCTGAGCTGCCATCGTCACGTCCTGGTTTACAGGCAGCAGATGGATAAAGTGGTTCGTGTCTCCCCCTCATGGGCTTCAGCACGATGTTGACAACAGTCCTCTGTCATGCGCAATATGAAAGCTCGACATAACAAATAAATAAATAAAAATGCAGCAGCTAACCTTCTGAGAACGATTAATTTTGAACCCTCTGATCGTGGCCTTTGGTCAAGTGTGAAATCAGAGCGGCTCGTTTTAACCTCCCGTTTGAAACGCAGAGCGCACGCAGAAACAGGCGCACATTCCTCATTTTCTCCCTGCACTCTAATCTGGGTCACATACTTTGTGCGGAGATTGGGCCGTACCATTTCTCTTGGGTTTGTGGGGATTGGATGAACATCTGGCCCGCGCCTTAATCTGAATATTTGAACGACGGAGAAGACGTGTAAACATGTGGCGGTGTTTACCATTTCCAAATGTTTCCTCCCCAAAGCTTAACCGATGAGCTGTAAAAGTCTGCTTATTCATTTTTATGTTTATTTCCTCCCATCATCTATTCATTCCTTTCCGTTCAGTCTTGGTAGCGCACGCATCACATCCTCGCCGGCTGTATCTCCTCGCGTCACGTTCATTTAAAATGTATACACACTCTGAATTAAACATCGCTTTTATTCCTCTGTCTTTCCTGCCAGCCTGCACACCCTCCCACAGTGTTCTCATGCTTTTCTCTCTCTCTCCTCTTTGCAGCGTTGCCATAGGCATTGGTTTCTATGGCAACAGCGAGGCTAATGATGGGATGTATCAGTTGACCTCGTCTCTCCTCACAGCCAATTACACGCTAGCTTCCATCGATCTGCTGGTGAGTGCCGATTCCCTGCAGGTGAAAATGTCACGCGGCGCGCTCGGTGCCGTTTGGCGCTGCGTGGCGGTGGGTGGGGACGGACGGTGTACATGTGGTCAGGCGAGAGAGGAAGGAAAATGCGATCCAAACCTCTGACTAATCGATTCGTCTGTGGTCAGGAGCAGCGGTTTGTGTGTCATTCTGCCGCTGACGGCGCCGGTCAGGAAAATAAACAATGTGAAACTTGAGCAGGGCGAGCATGTAAATCACAAATCGTGTTTATCATGTTTTGAAAGAGGGGACAGTCCAAGGTGTCCTACGGGTGAACCATGTCGCTTTAATGCAGAAAACAAGAACAGGCCTGAGTCCAAGTTCAGCTGTTTTATCACTCAAATACAAAACGTGCTTTTAATCTGAATTTGATGAGATGAATCGGGAAGCTTGTCAGAAGTTGGATCATATTTATTAAATGCAGTTTGACACAGAAGGTGAATTTTATTTGGATAAAAGAGGAGTTTCTTGTTTAATTCCACTCGCTCTCACAGTAAAATAACCTTTATGTCCTGCTCACCGCGCCGTTAATTATGAAGCAGGAAGAAGCTGAAGTTGAACCAGAAAAAAAGCTGTTGTCGATGAACTAAGTTATTATCGATATTCTATTCATTTACTTTTGCCAAGCTTGATCAGCTGCAGCAGCCATCTTGAACTACCGTACGCACATAAAACATCTCGTATCTGTATAACAAGCTTTTATTTGTGTGTTAGTATACCAGTCATCAGATTTATATAACATTTGCTTTATGTAAATAAAATGGATTTGTAAAAAGCAAAACTTAGACCAAAATGTACAGCGTTTCATATTTTAACACGCTGTACGAGGAGCAGCTGATTTGTAATAAATTACCGTAGATGGCTCTAATTGGCCAAAACTCCTGAAGGAGTCAAGTTACCTCGCGACTGTCTGGGACAGATGATGAGACAGATGAGATTTAAAGATAAAACCCTCACCAGCAGCAGTGAGTGGCTCCAGTGACTCTGTTAGGAGTTCAGAGCTGATGGAACGTCCTAACTTTGAGCTGTTTGACTTGTTTTGGACTCATCGAACAGTCGGAGGACTTGGACTTGCAGGATGAGTGTTAATGTTCAGAAGCTGTTGTGGACACACCACGACGCTTCATGTTGGATTCTGCTCGTCAGTCCAATGAGTTCAGACTTCCACTTCTAGACGTTTGCTCCACACAGGAAGTGGTCTTTGACCTCTCGGTTGAGTTAAGGACCGTGAGTGCCATGCATTAGCGTGTGAGACACTATCTACCACCACATTAGCCAGCCATGAGAGTTAAAGGCTTTATCATGTCTGTTTTTGTGCTTTTTCTCTTTCCCTCCCCTAAAGATTTCAGACACCATCACCGGGCTACAGCTCGCCGTCTCCGGCCCTCTCGCCTCCATGGAGGAGCTGTTCTCCGGCAGTAAGCCCTTCTTGGTGTCGACGCGGAACTGCCGGAGGTTGTCGGAGAACGTGATCAACCTCCTGTCCTCCATCTCCCTGGCTCGGCCCAGCGTAGAAGCGGGGCTGCTGGGGAACGACAGCGGCACCAGCGGGGCGTCCATCACGCCGCTGACGCCTGTCCCGCCCTCGGTGGCTCCCACAGTGGTGCCTACCAGCAACTTACTGCCCAACCCCTTCTCTCCGGGCTGGGCGGCCAACACACTCATGGTCAACGAGGACTACAGGTGAGAGTTCAGCCCAAAAAAAAAAAACATTTTTTTATTTCTTGACATTTAAATGCACGTTAGACATATAATTACGCTTTGGAAAAGTTAGGAAGTGATGCTCACATTTGTTCCACTCACCTCATGCAAACACTCATAAAACTGACTGTGTGTTAGCAAAATATCTCATGACCCACTGGATGGATTGCAATGACTGGACGCACATCTAAACTCAGATTCAAGCTGGCCCCAACAGGAAATCGACCTTAACAAACAAAAAGATTGTAAAAATTAAATGTTTGTTTGCGTTTACACTAAACTTTCCCATCTCTGGTACCTGCACTCCTCTGTACCCCCACCACACTGATGTGTGTGAGCAACAGCATAAACAACACGTAGTGTGAAAATGCACCAATGAAAGCCTCATGGGATCGGGTGAGTAACTCTTTAAAGCGCTCCGCAGAAAAGAAGAGTTTAAAAAGAATTACTAAAGCTATTCTCTTTAAATGTCTTGCATATAAAATCTAATTATTAAAATGTATTTAGCAGACAACGTGTTGAATTAGGTAATATCAAAGAGTCGTTCAGTTCTAGATGTACATCCAGTTATTGATATTTTGCTAACAGACCAACATTGTTGTCTCCATGTTTAGGCTCTGATCTTGTGCACCGAGTTGCATTTAAAGTATGAGCTGCGAGTGACTTCCAGCTCCGAACACAACCGTTTTTAGCACAATATCAATTAAATTGAATGATTTAAAACCCTTTTTGTGTTTTCTAAGCTCAGTTAGCTGTGGCAGCCATCTTGAATCAGATTGGCTACAAAAGTCGATCAAGTCTTGAGGAACATCCAGTGATTATTTCCTGGAAGTTTTATAAAAATCAGCTCAGTAGTTCATGAGATATTTTGCTAACAGACGAGAGCCGACTCCGATCTATTAGCGCTTAGAATATTTGTTGTGGATCAGTCTCAGCTACTACCACATGTAATTTTAGGTCAACATCTGTAAAAAAATAACTCTCTTTTAGCCATTTTTGTGTTTTTTTAATGTCGGTCGACGTGGAAACCATCTTCAATCAGAATGACTCCAAACGTTAATCAGATGTAGACGTACATAAAATATTTACTTTTTGAGAGTTTAATTTAAAATCAATCAAGTGATTCATGAGATATTTTGCTAACAGACAGGACACACTCATAAGACATGGGCGCAAACATTATTGTAAAAAAAGAATTGTTGAAGTTCAGGTCTGTTTATTCATTGATTCAGCCGTCAACCATAATTGATTAGAATTAAAAATCTTTGCTTATTATTTGAAAATATAATATTGATATTCCCCAGGACATCCTTGTAAAAGAGATTAATAATCTCAGTGGATTTATTCCTGGTCAAATAAAGGTTTAATAATAGAAAATAATGATAGACATTTGATTAAATTGTGATTAATAGAGATTAATTAATTACAAGACCTGTAATTAATTCGACTAATTATTTTTATTCCGCCCAGCTCCAAGTTTTTTATATAGTTTAAGATAAAATATATTCTTACAATCCACCGTTAAATGAAGGATAAGTGCATTTAATGAAATAAAAACAACTCTGGCTTTGTGTTTTGCAGGTGGCTGTCGTACGTCTTCCTGCTGCTGCTCGACCTCATCGTGTGTCTGTTCATCCTGCTGGGCCTGGCCAAACAAGCCCGCTGGCTGCTCATCCTGTGAGTAGAACCAGTACAGAACCAGTACAGAACCCACCCAACGCTGGTTTGATGGTCAGAGCGTCCTCCGGTCACATTTGTCCCCTCTCCCTCACTCACAGGATGACTGTGCTGGCATGGCTGTCCCTCTTCCTGAGCTGGGGCTCCCTGGGTTTGGAGACAGCCACCGTGGTGGTGAGTAGACCCCAGAAACCCCCCCCAGAGAGAAGGCCGTGGACCGTCAGAGGGTAGTTGAACGAGGACCGCTTTAGACCCCCGATGGGAGGCCGGGGTGTGTTTGATTTCTGCGCCCATTGTGCTAAACGGTGACAAGAGCTGCCTTGTAGGGGAACAACACAGTCATGGCAGAGCACCAAGCAGGCAGGAAAATGGGTCAGAGATTAAAGATGCACGGCGCGCGTGTGCACGCTGCAGTGCGTGTTTTACAGCGGAGCGTGCTTGCAAGTTTGTCGGCGTTTGGCTCGGAGAAGTGAAGTTAAAAGAAAAGGATGAAAAAGGAGTGCTTTCAGAAACGAGCGAGGAGAGGAGAGCAAGAACAAAACAATCGGCCTTCTTGAGCTCGCGTCAAGAAATTTCACCACATTTTTCGAGCATAAAGAGCCTGTTTCTGTGCGTCTTTGTAGATTGTGGAAGTCTGGTCCTTCTCTGTGAAGGGCTGGGGGTGACGCCTCTTTGATAAATGTGAAGAGGGTTAAAAAATGGCTGTTTTTCACTTGGGTCTCTGTGTCATGTGGGGCTGGTGGGAGATGTCCCACAGCCTGGGCATCCACACAGAGCCGCTCTGTCCTCCGTTATTGACAGAGGAACAATGGGCCGGCTGTGAGCTGGCCGCTCTGTCCTGTCCGGGTCGTTGCTCTTCCACTCAGATGCCAGGACTCCATTTTTGTGTGCGCGCGTGTGTGTGGCTCTTACTCCCCCTTCTGGTGGAAATATCTCAAACTGGGTGTAGCATCTCTTTAAAAAGTAGACCTAGAGCTGATTAAAGATGAGAACAAAGTTAAAGGAAGGAATGACGTCATGGAAAACAAATGCAACCCTTCGATTTTAGACACCTACAGTGAAAAAATGTGTCAACGTGTTGCTAATAGTGTGAATGTTTATGAAGATTCACACTATTGTGATCCATTTTTCTTACGTTACGTTTTTGGCACAATTCTCGTCCCACAGTTTTTGTGCTATTTCAGAAAATCATATCAAAACGTTCAGCTCTTTCAGGACAATCCTGCTATGACTTTTAGTCTTGATGCAACTTTAGCTTTTTTAAATATTTAGCCTTTTCTGCCATTTTTTTCTCATAGGAAATGAATTGAGCTAATTTTCCATCCTTCAAAATCTTTAGATCTGTTTACAACCTTTTACTGCTCCTTTCACATTTTGTTCTGCTTCAGCTTCTTGTGCAAATTCAAACTTTGTTCACCTAATATCAGCTGCTTTTCAGCTGTTTTGTGCTCCTTTCATATTCTTTCTGCTAACTACGACATTTTTGTGCTTCTTCTAACTTCTTTTTGATAATTTCAGCTCGTTCTGCTTCATTCAGCTTATTCTGCTAGTTTCAGTTATTTCAGCTACCATTTAGATGTTTTCTGCTAATTTTAGCCTTTTCAGCTCATTCCACATATTTAGCTAATTTCAGCTCCTTTCAGCTTATTTCTGCAAGTTTCAGCTTTTCCTGCCTTTTCAGCTACTATTTAGCCATTTAATTTTAGCTTTATCAGCTAATTCCACTTTTTTTTTTTACTCATTTCAACTTTTTTCAGCCTAATTCAGCAAAAATTTCCTCTCTCCACATCCTTCGGTTAATTTCAGCTTCTTTCTGTTTTTTTTTTTTTAGATACTTTTCAGCTGTTTTTTTCTAATTTCAGCATTTTTTTCAAATTATTTTCACTTTTTGTGCTCTTTTCAGCATCTTTCAGCTTCTTGTGCAAATTTAAACTCTTTTTCAGCTACTTTCACCTACTTTCAGCTGTTTTTCAGCTGTTTTGTGCTCCTTTCATTTTCTTTCTGCTAACTACAATGTTTTTATGCTTCTTCTAACTTATTTCTGACAATTTCAGCTTGTTCTGCTCCTTTCAGCGTATTCAGCTAGTTTCAGTTATTTCAGCTACTATTTAGCTGTTTTATACTAATTTTAGCCTTTTCAGCTCATTCCACATTTTTAGCTCATTTCAGCTCCTTTCAGCTTGTTTCTGCAAGTTTCAGCTTTTCCTGCCTTTTCAGCTACTATTTAGCCATTTAATTTTAGCATTTTCAGCTAATTCCACATTTTTTGCACTCATTAAAACTTTTTTCAGCCTAATTCAACAAAAATGTCCTCTCTTGACTTCCTTCGGGTAATTTCAGCTTCTTTCTGCCTTTTTAGATACTTTTCAGCTGTTTTTGCTCATTTCAGCTTTTTTTCAGATTATTATTATTTTTTTTGTGCTCATTTCTGCTTCTTTCAGCCTAACTGGGAAAACGTGTTCTTTCTTCTTTCTTCTGTTAATTTAAGCTTGTTTTACATTTTCCGCTACCCTTTAAGCTCATTTCAGCTGTTTTCCGTTAAATTTTAGTTTTTCATCGTAATTTCTGTTAATGTCAGCCTAATTAACTTATTTCTGCTAATTTCAGCTTGTTCTGCTCCTTTCAGCTTATTCAGCTAGTTTCAGATTTTTCAGCTACTATTTAGCTGTTTTATGCAAATTTTAGCCTTTTCAGCTCATTCCACATTTTTATCTCATTTCAGCTCCTTTTACTTTTTTCTGGTAGCTGAAGTTTCTTTCTGCCTTTTCAGCTACTTTTTTAGATGTTTTTGCTCACTTCTGCGTATTTAAACCTAATTCAGCAAATAGTTTTATTTCTGCTTTCTTCTGGTAATTTTGGATTGTTCTTCCATTGCAGCTACATTTCAGCTGTTTTTCAGCAAGTTCTTCTGCAATAATCATTCACACTGCATTTTTGCAGGAAATGCAGTTTCTCTAGTTTTTTATTGTTTATCTCACGTCATCCTCTCTTTATTTATGTCACTCCTTTTCTTCAGGCTCTCAGCGACTTCTGCTCAGATCCAAACGCCTTCGTCCTGAACTCCACCCAGTTCAACATGGGCACCAGTTCAGGTACAGCGGTTCGGTCTGGATCTTGTTTCCCCCCTCTCTGGTTTCCCTCCTGAACGTGCTTTTGTTAGCAGCACCCAACATAATGAGACATGCATGCTCGTTTGTGTTGTGCCCGCTGATCTTCCGTGTTCTGCTGTCTCTGCTGAACATTCAGATGTGCTGGATTACTACCTGACCTGCAGCAGGCGCATGAACAGCCCATTCCAGCAGGTAACATGTCCGCTTTCACTCCCGTGCTCATGCATCAGCACATTGGGCTGCAGGCGCTTCCTCTGAGGGAGTGGTGTGTTTAGGGGCAGGAGGACAGGATGCACATACGTTACTTGCACGTTGCAGTTCCCGAAATCAGTTCAGATTAATAACAAAACTAGCATTCCTACGTAACCAACCACTTCACATACCAAAGTTTCTAATGGAGTCGTTGTGTTATTGGAGTTTGTGTTGAGGAGGACTCTTAGCTACAACCACACCAAGGTTTAGCTCAATATCTGTAAAAATGACTGAGCTATTGCCATTTGTGTGTTTGCTGTAGTCAGTTAGCTGTGGCAGCCATCTTGAACCTGGCTGACTCCAAATGGTATTCAATTGTAACTGTCAGTACAAGGATTACTTTCTGAGAATTTTATCAAAATACATTCTGTGGTTTGTGAGATATTTTGCTAACAGACAGACAAGGTTGACTCCCACAGTTAATGACAAATTTTAAACTAAAATAATGTGTGATCTCTAAGAGCTCACTTTTTGTGTTGGGGGTGACTCTCAGCTACTACCACAACAAGCGTTAGCTCAGTTCTAGCTATTTTTGTGTTTGCTGAGTTCGATTATTGTGGCGACCATCTTACAATGGGACGACCTTAAAGCTCAGTCATTTGCAGATGACTCTCCGTTGATCATATTCTGAGAGTATCATTAAGTTTTGTGTAGCTGTTCATGAGATATTTTGCTAACAGTCAAACGAGCAAGCATTTGCATCATCGCCTGCTTCTCACTACAACGAGCACTAATGATGAATTTGAGTAAAAATGCAAATCAACAGGTCTAAATTGTATTAACTTGCTTATTTTGTGTGGGTGTGTGTGTGTGTGTGTGGGGGGGGGGGGTGTAGCTGCTGACCCAGTCGCAGAGGGCTCTGTCCAACGTTCACTCACACCTCTCCAGTCTGGACAGGAACGCTCTCCCACAGTTTCCTAAAGCTGAGGTACAGAAATCCTCCCTCCCAGGTGCTAACACTTCCTGTTACCTGCGTCAGGAACGTTCTCACGTTGGGCTGCTTGTGTGCAGAAATCCCTCAGGGAGGTCCAGCAGATCCTCAACTCCACGGAGGGAAACTTCCACCAGCTGGTGGCGCTGCTCAACTGCCGCGGCCTCAATAAGGTTCAAACAAAAACATTTCATAAAACCCCTTTTGTATTTTATCAGCGCGCTCATTCCTGCTGCTGTTTTAGGACTACGTCGACTCCCTGAAAGGCCTGTGTTACGACGGGATGGAGGGGCTGCTCTACCTGTCGCTCTACTCCTTCCTCTCGGCCTTGGCCTTCACCGCCATCCTCTGCGCTCTGCCCGGAGCCTGGAGGAGCTTCCCCAGGTGAGAGCAGCGTTCACGTTCGCTTGTCCTTCGCTGCACACGAAACCAGTCTGCTGGGGAGGGGGGTCACATTTGGCTTTCTCTTCTGCTACAGGTCATTTAGGAGTCGGTTAGTGTTTGCAGCTTTTTAAGGCTTTAAACGTTACAGTAGTCCCTCATTTATCGCGGGGTTTACGTTCCAGACGCCCCCGCTATAAATGAAAAACCATGAAGTAGGAACTCTACATTTATTTTACTATTTATATATATATTAAGGCTTTAGAAACCCTTCCCACGCTCTTGCAATGTTCTAAACTCTTATATGTACTGCACAGTTAGCTACTGCAAAATTTTATATGGATACTCACCAGCCTTGGTCCGGTTCTGGTCCGGTTCTGGTCAGCTCTCTGCAGCCGTTGAGCACCAAGAGAGAGCCGGACCTTCGAAGAGCCAGCACAAAACCAGACAATGATCCAGATCGAGTCCAAATCCAGATGAAAAAAGTCCCGGTGAGCTCCAGAGAAAACACCGGATTTCCAATATACGCCTTCCCGCTCGAGAGGCCTCATGGGCCGGCAAGCAGCGCTCAGATTGACCCATGATGCTGGAAGTCCATTCTGGTCCAATTCCCGGTCGGTTCCGTACGGCTCTGCATCCACTGAGCGCCAAAGTCACCATGAATAGGGACCGGACTTTTTTGGGTCGGATCAAAACTTTCCCTCCATTTCAGCTGAAAGCAACTTTGGCTTATGGATAGTGCACTGTTGGCTTCTGGGTAATGTAGTCCTTTTGACTGGCGATAGGTATAGGCTTATTGAGAGAAAACTACAAAATGGCAGCGCCTGTTCGAAGTATTTTTTTTCGTAACTTTTACTGTATCTTGTACAGTCCCAGTCAGGTGAGTAATATTAAATTTGACAACCACGTGTCGTGCACAGTCTTTTTTTTCTTGTGTACAATCCTACTTTGAAAAATCGCGAAAGAACTAGTCCGCGAAAGTCGAACCATGAAGTAGCGAGGGACTAATGTACTAAAACTTGAAAGTTTGGCCCCGTAAACTGGAGAGTTGTTTCAGACTTCTAAAGTACAGAAAAACAGGTTTGATGTTTTGAGTGGAAGTTCACAGCAACATTTCAGACATTTATTAAAGTGTACTACAATGTGATCAACATTTATGGTTGTATAACTTTTATCTTATAAATTCTGCTTTTTATTAAAAAAAATAGTACTTTATTTGCAAATAATCATGAATCTCAAAGAAGTTTTGTTCTAGGTTTTTAGGAGGTTAAGCATCAAAGAGCTGAACTGGCTGTAGATATCTTTAAGTTGCAAAGATACCAAAAGGAAACAAAGTTGATGACAAAGTAACTAAAATAAAAATAAAAATTATAGCAAGAAATGCAAAAATAAAGCAATAAATTAGCTTTAAGTGGAAAGTGTCAAAAATGGACATAAGCTGTAAAATGTGACAAAACAACCCTACAGAAACTCGAGAAAATGAATTTCCTGCGAAAACGCAGCCGACTGCTTATTGATTTTAATTGAAGAAGTTGAAACCAGGCTGAAAAGGTTTCATCGCTGAAGAGTCCCCGACATGGAGCAGCTGACATTTGCTAAAACGCAAAACGGCACAAATGTGTTAAAAAAAAACCTAAAACAACTGAATATAGCATAAACTGCTGCGGAAAAGAGCTGACTAAGCTGAGAAAGACAGAGAGAGGTTGAATAGATTACAAACATCTGAAATTAGCGTAAAAGAAACTGTAATGAGCAGAAAAAAAGCTGAAATTAGCCGAAAGAAGCTGAAAGGTGCATAACAATTACAAAAGGTGGAAGTTAGAAAAAATATAGCAGGAAAAAGTAGCTGAAAAAGCTCAAAGGAGCTGAAGGAAGCTGAAGTTAGCACAGAGAAGCTAAGAAAAAGCTGAAGCAGAACAAAAGCTGAAATGAGCATTAAAAGGTTTCAAACAGCATGAAAGCTGTGAACAGAGCTCCTTTCATTTTCAATGAAAAAACATGGCTGACGAAGCTAAATATTTCAAAAAGTAAAAGTTGCACAGACACCAAAAGTCACGGCAGGAATGTCCTAAACGAGCCGAACATTTTGAGATATGAATTGTTGAAATAGCACAAAAATTGAAGAACAGGTTACATGTTGTAAAACGTACGGAAGAAAAGCGAACCTCAATAATTAGAATGATTTATAAACATTCACACAATTAATAATCAAAGAGACACAAAATGACCCAACTGGACAAAGTGTCTTTAAAAACCCAACAATATCCTGTCAGGTCATCTGGACGGTTTCTTTTGTTGCCGAGACGTTTCATCCTTCATCCACAGGACTTCTTCAATCTGAGGAGCCACCAAACAAACTGACTCCCACAAACAGTTCACTCCATAGTGGAAAAAAAAAACAGTTTGCTGGTGCTAAGATGACCTCCGGGGCCCGCCCTCTCCCCTGTCAACTCCTCTGAGACAGTCATGCTAAAGTGGTTCAAAATGGCGAACTGTTTTTGTTTGTTTTTTCCATTATAGATCCATGCTGTTTGTGGGAGTCCGTTTTATTTGGTGGCTCCTCAGGTTGAAGAAGTCCTTTGGATGAAGGACGAAACATCTCAGCAAAAAAGAAGATAGATGACCTGACTTGGATTTTTACCTGGATTATTGAGCATGAACTTTGGTGTCTTTAAAAATGTTTAAAATGACACAATGTTGACATCACGAGGCACAAAACTACCATAAAAATAGAAGAATAATAGAGTCGCACCAAAATCGTACGAAACAACTGAAAAAAACACGCAAAGCAGACCACAAAAAACAAAAAAACGTGATGACAAAATGTGCAAAACGACAAGAAATAAAATGAAACGGAGCGCCAGTAATGAGTCACAGCTTGTACAGCTCTTATTCTGAAAGGTTGAGATGTGTAAAATGTAAATAGAAACAGAATGCGATGATTTACACTTTCAAAAACCCATATTTTATTCACAATGAAATGAAATAAAATAACTTTTAATAAATTCAGCCTTGCTCAGATGATCAAACGTTCATGCCTATGAGATGCCAACTTCTACGAAGCGACTCCTGCTTACAGACGTGTCAATAACAGCAAACATTTAAAGTCATTTCTCTTCTGTGTTTGTTTCGTCTCGTCTCCTCCGTGGACGACGGACAGCGAATCGGAGGACTACGACGACTCGGACAGCGAGAGTGAGGACCCCTTCACCTCCCATCAGGCACGTAGACAGGCGTCCTCGGGGTCTCAGCGAGGGGCCGTGACCCCCTTCTATAATTACCCTGGGGCCGGGTGGACACCCCCCTTTTCTAGCGCCCCGCCCCTCCCGTGAGTAACACAGACACTCAGACACACAGACAGACAGACAGACAGTGTTGCAACGAATGAAGGAGCCACTTTGACGAACCCGTTTTCTGGCATCAGCCTTCTGTTTCCTGTAGGCTCCTTTACACCGGCGCACCAAAACACACAGACTGACTCAAAGTATTCTGCGCACACACATAACCTTTACGGTGAAGACATGCCTTGTAAACGGAGCAACTGAAATGTTAAAATAGTCTGTAAAAGTTTTAAACCTCCCCTTATCTCTCTATACTCCACACTCTGACCTGTGATACTTGATGGGGGTCTGGATCAGGAGTTCTGAAGCAGAACATGTTATTTTTTATACTTTAGCTGCTTTTCACATTCATTTCCTGTCCAGTATCTGACCATGACAGCTTATTGTGCTGTGCAGGCTTAAAAAATTAGACAATTGAGCAAGCAGAGGACAAAAAAAAATGTTTAGAGACTGTTAGACCTGAAAGATGCATCATCCTTCAGGTGTTCATCTTCTGTATGAAAAGATTTAAAGGATTCAAAGATTTTTTTATTGTCATAAGAGCTCACATTTGCATGTCAATGGTACAAAATTTGGACTCAGGTCCCAGATCTAGAAGCTAAAGCTTCTAAATGTTTTTCATGGATTTCGTTAAAGAAATTAAAACTATTTTTTTTCTCTATGGAAGGCTGCTGGTATCAAAGTGCCTAAAATCCAATTTAAAATGATCTCTTTATTAAGTTATAAGCTATTTGTTGGCAGCACTGGATCATTTCTTGAGTTTCTGAGATGTTTTATGATTGTTCCTAAGTTAGTATTAAGTGGCTTGACACAAGGATCTCCCACCACCAGGCCAAGGACCGGCGCTGATCTATGGCTCATGAAAATAATAAACAAATCCATATTTTTATACATTGGTATGCAGGGTATTTTATTTTGAAAAATTACCACTTTTGTTTGTGCCTCTTTTCCGCGCTTGGCTGTGGCAATAAAATTTTATGTCCAAGCGAGTCCACAAACTCTAGATAAAAGGAGTAAAACCAAACTTGTCTGAAGAACGTCTGTGGTCTTTAACTGGTCCTCGATGCAAAAAACGTTAAGGACCGAAAAAGATTCATTTCCTGGACTGAAAATGAGTGAAAAAAAGGCAGATAAAGCCCCAAATAAGAACCATGAAAGTTCTTCAGAAGGCCCAAAGAACTTCTGATCAACACCACTTGAGGAGTTTATCAGAAAGTCCGTCTCCTTGGTACCAAAGTATAAAGAAATGAGGGGGTGGCTCAAGACTTTTGCACAGCGCTGTCGATGCCAGACATAACAGATGATGGAAGTTGCTCACACCCATCTTCACACAAGCAGAATAGAGAGTTTGAGTGCTAGTTGTACACACACTCGCACACATACACACACACACATGCACACACACACAGAGCTGCCAGGCTGAGCACATGAACTGCAGACAGACACACAGACAGGTCAGTCTGAGGGACAGCTTAGGCAGAGAAACAGGCGCAAGTGCAGAGGTCTGTCTGTCTGTCTGTGTGTCTGTCTCTCCGTCTGTCGCGTGTTTCAGGACAGACCATGTAGGCCGCTCGGACATGTCACAGATCTGCTGTCAAACGGCGTCCCGTCTCCTGAGCGACAGCGTTTGCTACTGCTGCGCTGGGGGGAGGGAGGGTGGCACTGACCAGGCTGCGCTCGTAAAAACCAGCAATGGGAAGCTCAGGTTGACAATAGGTAACCCCCCCCCACCCCCCCACCCCCACCCCTTCCTGACACCCAACCTGCCCCAAGTCCTGCACCAGTGTCCAAATCCGGTGGTGTCCAAATCTCTCCGGCCATCTTTTCTGCCGCCTGTCCCGCTGCTGCTTCTCTCTCTTTATGACACTTTCTTTTTCGCTTCCTGTTTGGTTCTTCCTCCTCTTCCTCACTGATGACTATGAGCATAGTTAATGCTACTTACCGCTCTCACAAATAACACACACACACAAAGACAGATGAGGCTCAGAAAGTCAGCCGTAGCACTAAAAACACAGTCTGCTCCCCTGAGATGAAATCTGCTTTAAAAGCTCTCGGGGGGTGGGGGTGTTATGGTGGAGTTAAACGGGTTCAACAGAGAGACGACGTCTTAAATGCACGTAATTGCAGATTATTGAATTAATCCCTCCGTGCACCAGTCAGGAGTGGACTGTGTCTGCTGACGCTCACGGTGCCTCACTGAGTGCTGGAGCTCTAAAGCACTGATGGCTAACAGCTGTGCTTTTCTGCAGCTTTATTTCTAATCACGCTTTCTTCTTCTTTCCTTTTACCTGTCTATGGGTCCCGTCACCCCCGTGGCCTCTGTTCCCTCTGCCTTTCTGAATGTGCCTCACCTGTTTCCCTCTCCTCTTTAACCTTCTGCTCCTCCTCTCCCCCTCTCCTCTGTCCTTGTCTCTTTCTGTCTCCACACAGGACTCCAAACGTTTCCTCCAATGGCAACCCTGGCTATGAGAGCCTACCCCTGACTGACAGGCAGTCCCCACCCCCCTCTGTGAGTTCCTCTGTACTTGTGACACCATTCAACCTGTTGCGTTGTTTTTTTTTTCGTTGCCTGATCTGATGACCAGAAGTTAACCTTGCTGTTTATTCAGTTATACGACTTCAAAACAAGCAGAAATGTGAGAATGAATGAATGATCAAGTCTGACTATTTGATTAAGATTAAAGGAGGAGGATATTTTTCCTTTTCAATGGTGTAGTCAGTGTCTTACCTGCAGCAGACCATAGCAGAATGAGCTCAAATGGATGAATTGGGGAGGAATCCTTATAAAGGCAAGCTGCCAGTCAGAGCAAGAGCCAGTCCCCCCCCCCCAACAAAAAGTTTAAACATTTTGTGAGATTTATTTATTTATTTATTTATTGTGAATATGCAAAAGTTTTGTCATTTCAGCGAAAAACAAGTTTTAGGAGCTTCATAACAATATTTTTTGAAAACAAGTTCAGGGGTGGAAAACAATGACATCATAGCCTCACCTCTGATCTACCCTCTGACCCGAGGGTGTCCTCTTCCTCTTCTTACATGCCACACCCAACTGGCAAGCTTTATTTGCATGCTTGGCATTGTTACTACAGTGCTTTGGGTCTTTTTTTTGGCGTTTTTGTGAGAATGAAGGCATTTCTACAAACGGTGCTGTGTTTACGAGGACATTTTTAGAGGACAAAAATATTGTTTTGAAAAAAAAATCTAAGTTTGCATGTGGACGAGGCCTAAGTCAGCGCTATATTAGCTATTTCCCATTACTTTAGCATGAGATAAATGTTCTTATTGTTTGTTTTTCCAATGTTTGTATTGTATTTGATTTTCTGTATACAGGTTATGGACAGTTATTGTCTTACCTGTTATAGATAATTCTTTGAATGACCTCAGTTTGAAAAAATACCTTAACTTTCATCAGACTGATGAGCTAACAGCTAGTCCAAGTAAAGCCAAGGCCAAAGTAGATTGTAAATTTAAAACGACTCCAGTGTCAAAAGATTTCAGAGTGGTTCATGCCGGTGATGTTTTATAAGCCCTTTACGTCACAGTCAGTTACACTTTACACTCATTTCCTGTCTGGAATACAATATTTCTGGAAGTGCTACAGCTAGCTGCAGCTAGCTATTTACACTTGCAACAAAAGAAAAACCACTGATGTCTTTGTAAATAACTGTATAATGTGACTTCACTGTAAAAGTATAAAGAACAACATTTGCACAAACTGCTACAAAACTTTTTAGATCGTCTACTTTGGTCTTGGTTCAGACTAGCCTTTAGCTTGTGAGTTTGATCAGAAGTTAAACTTTATTTATCCAAACTGAGTTTAGAGCTGTCTACAACAGATATCTACAACTCCACTCTAAGACCTGGGGCCTCATGTGTGAACAGCATACACACGAAAAGGATGCGTGCACCAGATTCCACACACATGTCGGGATGTATCGAAATGAACGTTGCGTGACAGCGTGTTTGAATATACGTACGTTTTTGACCAGCCGTGAGAATGTGCTTACCTCCACGCAAATTTGTTCAGTCCTTAGTAACTCGCGTACATATTCTGAGTTATGGCTCAGTTTCTTAACTTAAGGGGGAGTTAAACACGATGTTTGTTTGGTTTTCACGAGTTTGGGCATTTATGGTTTAAATTCGAATGAGGAAATGGCTACATTGAATCTCATACAACATAAAATGTGCCTCAAAAATGATCAAAACCACCTCCGTCCAATGTAAACTTCAATGCTTCTTATAGTTTTGTCACATGTAGAGGCTGTGATTTGGTGCAGTATAAACAAACTGAAATTAAACGCACGCCTGCGAGGCACACAGGCAGACAAAGAGCACAAAGTGTGTGAGGTGAAAGGTTTCAGCACAAAGAAAAAAAAGAAACTGTCCAGATGACCTGACTGAAAAGTGTTGGATTGTATACCTGGATTATTGAGCATGGACTTTGTTGGTTGTGTGAGAACTGTTTAAGGCGCCATCTTGATGCATGCTCAATGATCCAGGTAGAAAAATCTAAAAAAGTTAAATCTGGTCCTCTGGACATTCAAAAAAACAAAACAAAGCAAATCAACAAAAAAATGTAGAAACGTTTCGTCTCTCATCCGAGAGACTTCCTCAGTCTGAGGAGCTGTATTCAGCTCAGTCTCTTAAATAGCACCGTCTCAGGGTGGATCAACTAGTTTTGCTGCTGACAACCAAAACCAGCATGTGATCAGCTGGTTTTGGTTGTCAGCAGCAAAACTGGTTGATCCACCCT